ACAATGCAATACAAGCCTTCTCAGAGCAATCATAGCTGCAATTCGTGGCCTCCTGGATTCCGAGAACGCAGGTAGTCGGATTAACTTGGAAAATATTTGTCTAGCTTCGCCTTTTGCATTATGTGGTGAGATAGTCAGTGAGCTAGAAGAGCCCTCATCACAAATCGGGCATGTTATCGGCGCTGAAAGAGATTCCATAGGGCTTCTTATGCGAGCAGAATTATCGGCGACGCAACATATTCGGGATAGAAGGTCTAAAGCTAGTGACTGGTTTGGTTGGCTACATTTCTCAAACTCGTCCCTGTCTGCATGTTAGATTGAACAATTCGAGGCTACCTTGAAGACTCACAGAAAGATTTGTTCCAACAATACAACGTCATCATCCGACGGTTGAGCAACTTGGAGAGTCTCAAATATCCCGTGCGTTAAAATTTCTAAAGAATCTGTCTTTTCTTCAGACAATTTTCGTCTTTTCTTCGCGTGAATTATTTCATGAGGTGCATTGCAATCTAGACTCAGATCTTGAATGCATTTGCGAAGCTCGTCGTCTTGAAATTTCGACGGATGTATTTGCTCTTGGTTGGACTCCTGTGGTAAAGAACCAATGGCCTGTCTAAGAAAAGTTACACACCTCTTGACAATCGTTAGCGTACAATACGTTTGTTTGCTTCAGCCATGCAACCCACCCAAATATCAGTATCCTCTCCGATGACCAAAAACTGCGACGAAAGTAGAATGAGTTCCTGAACAAGCTTCGAAGCTGCAAAGCGACCTATCGTATAGCAGTTTAAAGATGCTCGGGTGATAATCAAAAGGGCCATGCCGTAGATGGACCTCGCCTGCTCGCCTGCTGGAGTCGATTGAACAAGCTCGTCGGGAGGAGAAATCATTTCGCTGCAGAGTAAGATAAGGAGAGCACACGATTTGTCAACGAGCGAGGCACTCGGGTGGTCATTGGTAATCGCAGATTTGATTATATCCATGATCATTTCAATAAGAGGAAGCGGTGTGCATTGAGATGATAGATCCAGTCGCTTTTGGATATGCCGCAAGTCCAGAAAGGAATCTATAAGCCAGGGCCCAGTCTCTAACAATGATACGCTGCTAGAGAACGCCGGATCAGGAGATATCAAGGGGTATGCGAGCACTCTCGCCAAGCTAGACGCTAAACGCAATCCCTGTGATGCGATAGGAATCGAATAAGAAATGCGTTTAGAGGCATGCTCTCGATTCTTATCTAGAATTTGGTCAAGGGCAAAAGATGGAGGAAGCTCCAGATTCGTATTGGGATCTATGTGAGAAGTGGCGAGAGTTGGGCTTTGGAGATGATCAAGGAGCGCTATTTCGATTGGTTGAATATTAGCTCCAGGCTATAGCTATTCTCATTGGGATAACATACAGGTCAATGATGCACGAAGATACAGTCCCAAATACGGAGCTACTTTCCACAGACTCCCTGTGCGTGCAACAAGAAGGAGAATGTACTGTAAAAATCCTTCGATGGAACTATCCAGTTCAAGGCATTGGGGGTGTCCCAAGAGCCTCAATAGCTGTGGCAGAAGCCAAACCCACAGAGGTTCCTGGCCGCGGAATAATAGTCCCCGATTCTCATTCCGATGAAGCAGCACCGATGGCGTTTCCTTGATTGTAAATCGCAAGAAATTGATGGCCTTTTGGGACTCAGTTCGCACATTCGCACGATCAAGAAATGGGTCATCAAGCTTGATGTTTTCAAGAACCACTCGGCAGTATACATAGATGAGCATATGATTGTGCTCAATTCGATCATTTGGTGTTTTGAGGAGGTCAGGATTGTCTTTTACACGTTGAATGATGGCCAAGAGCCCCTTGAGCTCACTATTCTCATCGGGTCGAGAAACTTTCGTAGACGATGCAATGTTTTCCACCAATTGCGCCGCCAGAGTGGACGGCGGAGGGGGGCCGCTCTCGCCTGTATCACCGGCCATATCCACGCACTCGATGGTAGCAACGACAGTCAGAAACTTGAGTCATTGCCAATCTGCCACCGAAGGTGACTGGCGCCGCGATATGGCATCAATGAGCAAATGCTGCCTGGAGAGACGCGACGAGGGGCACGAAGTCGTCGTAGTCAACCGTAGCACGATGCGATGTCACGTGATGGCGTGAATTGCTGAACACCCACTTTTGAGACGCACCTACCCGAGACTGAGAATTAGAAAGCCTTCAAGTGATCTATACCAAGAGTACGCAATAAAATTTGATTGAATTTATGCATTTTACTTTGTGGTTTACTATCTTCTCGATCAAAATTTTGTCTCTCGCATCTCCAAGAATAGAACAGCCTTCAAAACGGCCAATACACGTTAGCACGAGATATCCGATCTGATGTTCAATATATCCAATACCCGGCAAATCAAGTGTTTAAAAACAGATAGCCTCAAACTTATAATTTTTTTTTTCTATCAAGCTCGCTTCTTTACTCGTATCGAACTCTAATAACGTCGTGTGTCACACCTGCGCTAATGTCAGACCCAATTCAGAGCTCAAAGAATTGTTTAGATTTAGAACAGAGAATATGCAGACCTCCCAGTTTCACGGTGTATGTTATCATGGCTGATCCATAGCTTGCCTCAATCACACCTGTCAAGCAATAATATCGATGCCATCCCATTTTCTTCTTTTTTGCTGATGACTTTGCTGATTTTGTTATTTTATGCAGGTCAAGGAATAGCGTGGCTACTCTCTTTGTTGTGCCGCTCATGTGTATTGGTGCCTCGTGATCATCGTCGTTGCTAAATATCTCGATATCTGCTTGCGGCCTATGTCCCATAAATACGGGTATATCGCATTGATACTCAATTTTTGAAGGCTTATCATCGGGATACGATTGGCCCTAGAGTTGGTCACTACAAGATCAGCTTCCTTTGCACCCTTTCAACGTACCTTGCGAATGAACCAACACATTTCAACGACGACCCAGTCCTCTTCTTTGTCCGACCAGAATCTGTCCCTCAATTTTCAGCAATCATCTTCGTATCTGCTTATTCTGTATACTCACGCTTCATCCCGGTTATGCTTTGCCGGGTCATACTTTGTCAAAAGGCAGGTGCCGTACGATCGCCTGGCGACCCGAGATGCGATCCCTACCAGGGCCATTGCGGGCTGGTAATTTCCTAGACCATAGATGACGGCTCCTTTTACTACTGCAGTAACACCATTCTCTGGCTGAAGTACGCGCACTCTAGAAACGATGACATCGCGAACCCGAGACCTTAGGTATGCATTCTGTCCAAACCCACCAACTAGTACGACTGCCGCAACTTTTTCGTCTGCCATCGAAATTTGCTCCTTTATTAGACATATTATGTCTTTCATAATCGGATCCCATATTTTAGTAGCCATGTCGTCTTGAGATATTGTGAATCGATCACGTTTGAGACCGAGAGATGGATCGACCTTTAGTGTAAGTGGTTCACCCTTTGGAAAAAAATTCCTTTTGAACTGAAGTATGTCAGGCTAATGATAGATATTAGAGTATTTTGGCACAAACATACCGCTTCAAACTCGCTCAACGCAACAACCAGTCGCTCATCTGTCCAATACTTATCTCCATGCATCTGCTTCAAATATCGTCGAAATCTCATGTTGAGCATCGAAGACCCGCATTTCCCTCCAGTGCCTTCCGTAACCTCTCTCATTTGGAGGGGCTGAACTTGAGCAACTTCATATGTTATAAGATCTACCGTACCTCCTCCGGCGTCGCATACCACAAATCTCCTACCAGTTTGTAGGACAGAAGGGCTCAGATATTTGACAGTGTACAGAGCTGCCGCTTCCTTTTATATCGTTAGCACTGCAACAGGCCTATCAAACATGGGTTAAGACAAACAGGTTCTGATATAAGCTTAATTTTTTGCTCTCCGCCGAAGCCAGCGAGTGATGCTGCCTTTTCTGTTTCTTGCTTTGCACTATTTGACCATATCGCTGGAACGGTGACAACAACGTCCATCGGCGTCGATTGTACTACGCTGGGCGACAGCTTGTCCTCTAAGACGCTGATAAAGTGAGAATAGAGGAATGATAGATATATCCTTGTTAGCTCCTGCGCAGATTCTCCTTCGTTCTTCGTATCCGATGGTTCATCCAATCTTCTGATACACATGGAATCAGCTCTAGAGGCATATCCAACAATGATGATTGTGTCTCACAACTTGAACAATCTACTTCTCTTCGCCGATTTCGGGATCTGGAACCCCCACTGCCAGCCGGATGCTACTTTCCGCAGCTCTGTTGGAACTTTAGGGCTATTTTGGGACGAACCAACTGACGGCCAGTCGGATAATACGTGCTGAACATCCGGCTTGGAGGCTTTAGCGCGGCACGAAATCTTTGCGTACTACTGCTTGGACTCACCTGAGTCGTATCTGCCCAAGCGACTCCAGAAAAAGTGGTTCCAAAGTCAATAGAGACGACTATTCTTCTCTCCTCGCTCATGCTCAAGCCTCCTAATGCGAAGTAGGTGTCTCCTCTGGGAATTCCCTGTAAGTAGCCGATATGCTTGCGATGTCCCGAGTTTGGGTAGTCGATTGCACTATACACAATGCCTTAGAAGAGAGTCATTGTCTCTAAGTATAGTATGTCACGGACTGGGGGCTGTGGCTTGTTTCTTGATGGTGCCAATGGGATGCTTCCAGTAGACTTTCTCGGACTCCGCCGAAGGGCAGGATGAAAGACAAGCCGGCAACGGGATTCTTATGCCGACCAGGTAAGCCTCCAGCAGTTATACACATAATTATTAGCTTGGCATTGAAACGCCAGCCATGAAGCATAAACGCGCGCTTTTGCGGAACAGGGCACCCTGGACGTGCATGCAGACAGCCGATCCCGAGGCCGGGTATGTGGTGGAGCCCAATGGATGCTTGCTTCGGGCATGAAGAGGCGCCCAGCCAGTTAAGGGGAATATCCACCAATATGACATGGTCAGGCTGCGCACCGACAATTCATCATCTGGTAACCCTATCCAATTGAAGCTATATGGGGTCATTTGTGCTTTTGCCAGGTCACCAAGTCATTGCATTAGGAGTAAGCCATTGGCTAAAAAGAAACCATTACGCACTACAAACAGAACAGGTGGGATCGATGTTGATATTTCCGTCACTGGCTCCATAAACTTCTAGAAACCAACATTGCCCCATCTATTCTTTTCCATACTCACATTACCAAAAACATACCGCAAACAGCACCCTGCATACATAACATCACAGTGTTAAGAGAAGAAAGGAAGCAATGTCGCCGAACCAAGCAGAGACAACACGGAAGCAGGATGACAAGAGCAAACTGGAGGACGAAGTTCGGCTGCGCCATTTCACCGAGGAGGTGCTAGACTCACGACAGGAAGAGCTTGAAGTTCAGGAAAAAGAGAATTCAAAATTATCAAAGAAACTGGAATTGTTACAGCAAGAATTGAAAGAAGCGCAGAGCCAGCTCGCACAAGCTCGCAGCCAGTCAAACAACGCCGAGGAGACTAAAAGCCAGAGCACTCGCTCATCTACGAAGAGGAAGGACATTACAGAGATCGAAGCGCAGGAAGCATATAAAAAATTGTGCGAAAATGTTAAGCGTTGGGTCGAGTATCGCATTCGGCCTGTCTTGGACGATCTAGCCAGTGGCCACTTTCGTTGCCAGCCAACTCCAGCGCAGTCAACAAGATTCGTATCTCTGATGAGAGAGCCAGCAACAAGTTGTCTCAACGTATGGCATTCCGATGAATATCATTTTACGGCTATTATTATGCAATATTTATGGCTAGTGTTCTTTACCAAGTCATTCTACTGTCCCCTCGATGATGCGGATGGTGAGACTACTGCAGCGTGGATCGATGATCTGGAGAGTGCGATATCTAAACTTCCTCGAGGTATGTCTATCCTCTATAAATCATGGCGATATTTTACATTTTCAACTAAAACTAACATCTCAAATCAGATATTCAGCATTGTAGAGAGTGGAGATCTGAGACGCTCACGGCTTTGACAAGCCAGAAATCTTTCAAATCCAGAAGAGCAGCATACCTCAACCTTATTACCGAAGATCTTGCTTCTCTCCTAACAGTTGTAGTGCCATATTTAACTGCTACAGAACTGCAAAATTCTCTTCGGACAAGCATCATTGACCCGGCAGTGGATCTTGCACACCGACTGCAGCTTTGTCCAAACGTATTCTCTCTTAGGTGGCCAGCACGAACCGCGAGATCAAAATTGGATACTTATGAATGCATCAACCTTGCTGATAGAGGTACCATTATGATGAAGTCGGACGAGAATGGCAAATCATCTGACGCCCTAAGAAACGCATCGTATCTATTCGATATTGCTCCAGGGCTTTTTGTCGAGACGGTCTCTGGAGCAAAGAAGTCGGCAGCAAAAATTGTCTGCAAGCCAACGGTCTTGGTGTATGGAGGAGATAAGGATAGCGATATTCCACAAAAGTCTATGACGTTAACAAGACTCTTGTGGGATTTTGCGAATGGATCAAAGAGCCGATCTCTTGGTCCATCGCGAAATATATCACCCAAAAGTAAGACCCTGATCTTGAGGCGACATCGCTCAAAGCTCTGATTCATGGCCCAAGGGTCCTCTAGAACACGCCTCGATGGCGACTGGAGCTGGTGATTTCTTTTTTCTTTCTTTTTTTTTCCCCCCCCCTTTTTAAAACAAAAACAAAATCAGACATCTTGATGATGTTCTTAAACTTATAGAAGCGTCAGCAGCGCTGGCCAGAAAAGCAATGACAAACGAGCAATAGATCTCACCAAAGATAGATAGATACATCGCAATGAATCACGAAATTCGATCATGACTCTCAAGGAATACAGTACCGACAGCCGCTAAATTCTTCTTGTTTCTCTCATGAAAATGCTGGCCACCAGCCCCAGCTCGAAAGCTGTACCTCCTGTACCGAAACGATAGGAACCTCACGGGGTTGGTTTGACTGTGGCCGCGGAGGCAGGGGTGGTACCTTTGATTTCGCTGATGAGTCTTTCTTTTGGTCATTATCTTTGTTAGGAGGCTGCAAGGATCGAGATCGCCGCTCAAAATGCTGCTTTGATCGGCTCACCGATCGTTCTTTGCGCGCCGGGGAGCGGCCGTCAGACCGCGCAGGAGAATTTGCATTCCTACCCCGGACAACCGTTAGCACCTTGAGCTTGGGGGTTTCGAGTGCCGGATTCGAAGCGGCTCTGTCTGCAGTTTCCGGGATAAAGGGGCGGATACAGTTCCGAATGTAATCCTCGTCAACGCCTAGGGCCCTAGCATCCGCAATACCCAGATTGATTCGATTGACATATTCCTCCTTAGGGCTGCTATCAAGAGTGCACTTTGGATTGACGTATATGAGAACATCATCTTGCCAGTGTATTAAAGAATTTTCTCGCCGCCCCTGAGCTATAAGCCTGGCTTGTCCGCTCACTGCCGCGGGTCCGCCTTTTTCCACTATCCACGATACGGGGCGGCGGTACAGGGCACTTTGTGCTCGATGGAGTAGGACGGTCATGTATCGCTTGTTATATGCATTTTTCGCAACGCCTTCATTTATGTCCAGCTTGGCTTCGTCGACATCGTCAATCTCATATACGAGGCCATCTACCCAGTGTCTCTCTGCCGCAACGACATTGGCATATCCGCGCTCGTTGATTTGCCACCGATAGTTGGATAGACGAGCCTTTCCGATGAACCTGCTATTTGGACATCGACGGTTCATTTGCTTGACGTGCAAGTTGCTCCCATAAGCAAAGTATAACTTTGCCGGCCGGCGGTCTAGAGACACCGCTGATGCTGCTTTCTGGGTCGGCACTTTGGTTTTCTTACTCCCCACTGATTGGCTGCGGATGACATCCATGGTCAGATTGGGGAATTGGCGGGGATATTCAAGTATTGGGCTGTTGTATAGCTGACTGAGACGGGGACTCGGTCCACGAGATTGAACGCTGAAGAGTCTGGAAATGTCTGTTCTTACTGTGTGCAGTATGCTGTCTTACATATTGCTAATTATTGCTAGTCACCCGCATTATGAGGCGAAAACATGTTTATCGCATGAGAGTCACTCGTTTGTTCACCAGCCAGCCAGGATGCTCCGTTTAAGTGCGGCTGCTTCTATAGTGGACCTATGATGCAGCACGACAAGTTGGGCAGCAAAGAGACGGGATGACGACCATGATGCAGGGCATGGAAGCGCAAGCACCAATTGGACCTCACCACGTCTTTGATTCTTGGCATACGGGAGCCTCTTTCGTGGCAGTGAGCATAAAAGTTTGGATAAATTTCATTTTTTCTGTTTCAAAAGAGAGCCACGGACATGCCCGGCTTCGGAGCATCATACCCGCTCCTAGCTGCCACGTTCCCTACCATCTCCACCACCGAGGGCCGCTGTATTACGATAGGGGACAGTCAGTCGTCCCTCCCTGCGGCCCGCGCAAAGGACATACTAGATAGGAGATCTGAAAGGGTAGGGATGGGGAAGAACTTCATGGACAGCGCAACGGTGGCTGGGCAGCTAAAAATCTGCTCCCGGTGCTGCCCCATGGCTTTGTCTGACTGGATGGCAGCTGACCATGGCTCAGTGGGCGAACATGGCTGCCCATGTACTAGGGTACGTGCCATCTAATTGTAGCACTCTGTGCAGAAAGTATGGGTGCAATAATTGGATGGTTCTCTCAAATGGAGAAGCTGGCAAGCAATGGAGGACGTCAGGTGAGCATGCATGTGTCCAATTTGAAATGGATTGGCCAATTATTCGCGCAAGCGTGGTTAAATGTGTCTAGCATCGCGAGAGGAGCAAACACTGGCTTAGCAAGTAAGAAAGCAGGAACCCGGAGTCAGATATCCATTATGTCGACTACACCATCTAGCAGCCAGCACATTCGCTTTATCATCAAGCACACCCTTTCTCAAACCAGCTCGGTGTTTGTTCGGTGGACCTGTGGTTATTTTCGCTTGGGCTGTAAGTGTAGCCTCATCTCCTGGAATTCTGTTTCCATTTCGTGTTGGCTACTTACACCCAACAGCTTACCGAAGATGCCAACTGGTGTTAGGCATTACAACTTTGGTGTAGAGATTGAGGCTGTTGCTAAGCCATATGGGAATTGCGACAGCTTCACAAACGTGGACTGGTATCGACAACTGGCACAGAAACTACGCAACCGGGGCATTCAGGCGGTCCATGATGATTGCTCAAAGTATAGCAAGCACCCAGAATACTATGGAGGGAAGTGGTTCGTCACCCGTGACGGATCGCTGAAGCGGCCACGGCCATATGGTTGGTAATTCCCAATTTTCACCCCACTGCATGATAGAGGTCATGTACGATTACTACATGTGTTATTTCCATTATGCATAGGAGAAATATGCGCTGACATAGATGCAACTGACAGTGTGCATGGAGGTTGTATCCCCAAAACTTGATACAATGCATGGTGTGAGCCCTATCTTCTCCGATTTTTGGGAGGCCATGCGTGTACATTTTAAGCCTCAGGAGGACGATTCATGCGGTGGGCATGTTCATGTCACGCCAGTCAACCTTAAAAACAAATTCTCCCTCAGAACTCTGAAGAAGATTGCCTTTGCAATAGTCGTATATGAGGATTATGTTGCAGAGATCCTACCCGCGACTCGCCGCGATAACCACTATTGCCGGCTAAACAGTGAGAGCCTTGAATGCGGACTGAACAAGACGCTGGGCTGGAAAAAGAGCCTGGGGGGACTTCGCAAAGTGGCTGCCGAGATCAAATCTACGACCACGAAGGCAGATTTGTGCCACTACATGCAGGGCAACCGCTACGTTCTATGGAATTTCCAGAATATCTATCCACGTCGGAAGTCAAGACGATGCACAGGGACCATTGAGTTCCGAGGCGGGAACCAATTTCTCAATACTAAGGGGACGTTGGCCTGGGTGGCCTTTGTGCTGGGATTCATCACTCTGGCGAAGGAAGAGGTAAGCCTGCCTATGTACCCCCTTTTAACTTGTCTGGCTATATAGGTCCCTTATTCAGATCACAGTGAATATGGAGATGGTGGTGAAAGGGGAAGAGGGGAAGAGGGGAAAGAGGAGAATAATCACAGCAACCCACCCACCTGAAGTCATCTCGCTTATTGATACGCTTGTGAACGCAGGACCTTCTCAACAGCTACTATTCTTACGTACCGCCCACGGATCCCAGCTGGCCCTTTCGCGCCAAGGAGTGGTGGAAGCGCATCCGACAGGCAGCTAAGCAGTCCCGGATGGGCAGGCATCTGCCTGACACATATGCAGAAATGCAAACGAAATGACCAAAACAAAAAAAAAAAAAAAAAAAAAAAAAAAAAAAGAAATACGCTGCGTACATAATTTGGACGATTGGGTTGCTTCGGAATTTCTTACTCTATCTTTCCTTTGATGACTGCCTTGGGATTGTCCGTACTATTTGGATCTAGCTTTATGCATGTTTTTAACATTCGTTGGCTATGTCAGATAGTTGATTGCTAGGGCGGCCGGATGAGGTTCACGATGCCATTATGATGTTACGACGATATAATGTTTTATGCATTACGCGGAGTTTAGGACGACTCTTTCGTGTGTTCTATTTGGTCACAGCTTGAGAAGGACCGGTAATATCGGAAAACAAACCCAGGAAAATATGCAACTTGCCAGACACTGATGATACCTCACTAAAGACAAAAAATAAGAAAAAAAAAAAGGCGAAAGGATAAGGGGGAATAAGGGAAAGGAGGCTAGGGTAATGCTTTTTTTTTCTTCTTCTCATTGATATTATGCCATTGATGATAAACGACGTATATCTTGCCCAAAAAAATTTATATATACATGTACATGATTCATAAAATCTTCCGTAAATCAAAACGCCTTCATTATCCCATTATGATGACTCTTCTTTGCTGGGCTCCTCCTCAAATAGAACAAGAATAGTTCCAGCTTTGCAGATATCCTATGAAGGCGGTTAGCTAAACGGACACTTAAAAAGTAAAGTAAGTGGTTTCAAAGTGGACTTACGCCTTCCTTGTGAGCAAGCTTCTTGATAACGCCGTCCTGTGGGGAGCGGATTACTGTCTCCATCTTCATTGATTCAATGCTGTATTAACTTTGTTAGCGACAAAATAAAGACAGATGAAAACTGTGTAAGGATTGTTCGAAATTCACTTACACAACAAGTGGTGCGCCCTTCTTCACGACCTGTCCCTCCTCGACCTCGTTCTTCAGAATCTTGCAGGGCATAGGTGCCGCGACAGAAGCAGTCACTTCCTTCAGGCCCAAAGCCTTCTCATACCACGACGGCGGCAGCAATGCCAGATCGGTCTTGACGCCGTGCTGGAAGATAGCCAGCTTGGTCTCGGTGCCGTTCTCTTGAGGAACGACTGTGGAGTGGATCCTCTCGCCGGGGAATCGTGACTGCAGTTTGGTAACGGCGCCTTCAATGGTGGGCTCGCTGATGACATTGCTGAAGAGCTCGGGCTCCTCGCCCTTGCGGGAGATGGTGACGTTGTAGAGGTTGTGGCCGGTTTGTGAGACAAAGGCCTCGACGACCTCGCCCTCCTTTTCGCTGTAGCCGTCGAGGACCTTGAATGCGAGCTTGCGCTCGCTGGTGGAGTTTGTGTTGCCGAAGCCGAGAGACTGTCCATGCGGGCTGGAGCCGATGGTTTGCAGCTGGTTGCTCAAAACGCCCAGGGCAGCCTGAGCAAAGACTTCGTTGTTGATGTGTCTGGGCTTGAAGAGTTCCTCCCTCCACTTGTCGATGAAACCGGTTTCGACGTCTCCGGCGATAAACGCGTCGGAGGCGCATAGTCTCTTGAGGAACTCAACGTTGGTGCTCAGACCGACGATTTCAAAGGCACGCAGAGCGGTGGCGAGCTTGGCAATGGCGGTCTCGCGGTTATCGCCGCGGACGATGAGCTTGGCAATCATGCCGTCATATGCTTCGGAGACGACGCTGCCGGAGCCGAAACCCCAGTCCAGACGAATATCTTCATCGGCTTTGGCGGAATCCAGCAGCACGGCGTGGATGAGCTTGCCAGAGTCTGGCATGAAGCCCTTTTCAGGGTTCTCGGCATAGATACGAGCTTCGATGGCAGCTCCTCGCTGGTTCATCTGCTCTTCGACCTCAGCCTGGGTCAAGGGCAGCTTCTCGCCGGCGGCGATGCGGAACTGCCACTCAACAAGGTCTAGACCAGTGACCATTTCAGTGACGGGGTGCTCGACCTGTAATCGGGTGTTCATCTCCATGAAGTAGAACTTGCCGCTGTCCTTGTCCAAGATGAACTCGACGGTTCCAGCACCGACGTAGCCCACGGCCTCGGCGGCCTTCCGGGCCTTGTCCCAGAGGTCTTGTCTGGTGGCCTCATCGAGATCAGGAGCGGGAGACTCTTCGAGAACCTTTTGGTGTCGGCGCTGGACACTGCAGTCTCGCTCTCCAAGGGCGACGGTGTTGCCGTACTTGTCGGCGAAGACCTGCACCTCGACGTGTCGCGGGCGCACAATGTACTTCTCCACGAGCATGACTTCTCCGCCCTCGCCGAACGAAGCCTTGGCCTCGGCTCTGGCGCTCTTGAGCTGTGTCATGAACTCGTCCTCCTTCATGACGATGCGCATGCCCTTGCCACCACCACCTCGCACGCTCTTGAGGAGGACTGGGAAGGTGATCTCCTTGGCGTAGGCGAGCAATTGCTCCTCACCTTGCTCTGATCCGTGGTATCCAGGAACGCAGGGCACATTGGCCGCGTTCATAATCTCCTTGCTCCTCGCCTTGTTTCCCATGTCGGCCATTGCGGTTGCGGGGGGTCCCACAAAGACGATGCCTTCCTCCTCGCACCTCTCGGCGAACTTGTAGTTCTCTGACAGGAAGCCATAGCCCGGATGCAGCGCCTGGATGCCGTGCTTCTTGGCCAGCGCAATGATTTTCTCGCCGTCCAGGTAGCCGTTGGCGGGACCCAGGCCCAGAGACTGGAAGCCGGACGAGGCGTGCCATGAGTTTGCGTCGACGTCTGTGTACACCGTGGTGGCCTTGATGCCCATGCGTTCCGCCGTGCGGTTGATTCGGATGGCGATCTCGCCTCTGTTGGCAATGAGCACGGAGCTCAACGCCGCGGTCTTGGGGATAGAGGACGCTGGTGATGCTGTGGAGAGAAATCGCGGAACGGGCCTCAGGGAGAGGCGATTGGCGCGGAGGGAACGCATGGCGACGGAACTGCAAGATCTAGACGACTCTATCTGGGGAGAGAAAGAGAGAGAGAGAAAAGGAGACACAAAGTTGCAAAGGGTTCGCGGATTCAATTAATCTAAAAGAATTCAATTTGTGCACAAGGCCGGGCCAAAGATGCTGCCTCGCATTGCACAGGCTCAATCGGTTAGAAGCTGGATAGAGCCGCCCGCCAGCAGCCGTTTGTAGCCGCGGCAGCTGAGAAGCACCTCGAGCTGAAGCGCCGACGTCACCCTCGGCCGTCGCGTTTGGCGGTACTTGCACGCTTGCGGAGGGGCCCCATACCGAAGCTGGTACTCCCCTAACGGGGCGGCCAGGTATGACTAAGCGCGGTCCGTCTTCTTTTCCCCTCCCCCACGTTTGGCGCCAAAGTGCTGCTAGTTGCAGCGCCTAAGCTTCCAAGCCTGCGAGTCGAACATCGGCTGATCGGATTGTCGGGAAGATCACCGGCGGCAGAAAAGGCTGCGCTTCTTCGAACGTCACACCTTGTGCTGGGCACCGGCTGCATATCTCGGCTCGATCGATACAGAAGGCAACACCCGCCATGGACAAGATCCCGCTGAACTACGAGGCGTCCGAGGGCGACACCCACAAGCGCCAGACGAGCACTTTGCCCACGGAGGTGGTTCAATGCCTTGAAAATGCTCGCTTTGTATGGGCCCAATCGCACCGTCGTCCAAGGCTGTGAAGAGAATGGCGCTGACCTAGAGCTTTGCGAATAGCTTCATCTGGCCACATGCACGGATAACGTGCCCAATGTGTCCCTGATGAACTACACCTACCTCCCCTCCTCGCCCTACTCCGACTCTCCCGTCATCATCATGACCACCAACCCGGCCTCTCGCAAGACCACCAACATCATCGCCAACCCAAACGTTTCTCTCCTCGTCCACGACTGTAGGACCGCCCAAACCAACAGACATGTCCGTCCCAGTTACTGACAATTGAACCTTCTTCTAGGGGTCTCCCACCGTCCTCCAACCCAAGGCCGTCGCATGTCCGGAGGATCCCCCACGCCCGAAACTCGCTCCAGCCTGGCCACCCTGCTCCTCAACCTCAACACATCCGCCGTCTCCAGCATCAGCGCAACGATAGGAGGCGCCGCGCGGATAGCCCCGATCGGCTCCGAGGAGGAGAAGTTTTACGTGGCGCAGCATCTCGAGAACAACACCTTTGAAGAGGGCACGCCACTCTTCCAGCCGGTGTCGAATACGGACAGCCGCGAGAATGATCAAAGCGGGCATTTCGTCGCGGGAGAGGAAGTGCGCGTCATTGTGGTCGACATTCGGAACGTGAGAATCAGCGATTGGAAGGGCACGGTGAGAGATTGGGAGTTGACGACGGATGCGCCGTTGCTCAACGGAGGTGCCTGAATGGGGGGCTTGGATGGGGTTTGGCAAGGTTGTATTTATATGTTCAATGGTTATTATTAGAGGCGTGACTTGGGCATCGGAAATGGGCATAACAAATATTCATAGTAGCCAAAGGGGGAGAAAAAGTGCATTTATATTTATCCCATCTAGTTATCCACAAACAAGCATATCTTCATTGTACGAGCATAATCATCCGCTCAAGCTTTCAGTAATGTTAATAACGAGAGTAATAACAACAGAAGCGAAGCGGGGATTTAGGCACATATTTGTTGCTTCTTGAGACAGTCATTAAGAGAATCAAGAGGCAAGATCTAATTTGAAAGCCAAGATATTGTTATTCCTTCTGGCATCGCAGTAGTCTCCCGCGGATGGCCCGGCGCGGTGCAAAGCTACCTGAAAAGTTTATGTCTCGGCACACCCAAAACAGGCGAGTGGCGCAGGAACTAAAAAAAAAATCCAAGCCCATTTCGTAAAGCGCTATTCACTATGTGAGGTTTCTATCATATCATAGCCTCGAGCATATATGAGAGCAACTCTTTTCACTTTAAAAATACATGAGATGTTGTTCCACAACCAAAATCCTGCCAGCCTCTCTTGTGATAGTCTTCTCCAATCTGAATATCCGAACCAACCCACTAGTTTCTGCCATAGTAATACAATTTGGTTGATAATCATCCACCATTGCTAGTCCGTACCAATCTATGCTAGATAAAATGTCGCTTCTACCTCGCCATTCCGTACCCTAAACGCCAGATTATAGGTGTATTTTTCAGAAAAACACAAAGAGAAGAAAAACAAGTCAAAAAAAAAAGTAAGCTCATTTCTCATAATGGTTCCCCAGCTGGGATAATGACGACTAATTCACTGTTGCCCACTCGATTACCTCGAGTGCCATCATGACAAGGAAAAGAGTAGAGGGAAGGATCCTAATGCATGTGTTAGTGAAAGGTGCAAAACCAGACAAGGGGTTAAGCGTATTGATATGCTTACCAGATAACATAGCTCTGAAAAAGGATTCTTCCCATGGTCTGCTCATAAACATTGTTGATTTGGCATATTTGCGCAAGCTGAAGCGCACTAGGCGCACCAGTAAGAAGAAAGCATACGACAATGAAAATGGGGTCATCCAGAATGCTGATGGGCAGGTATTTTGCTGTAATAGCTAGAATGGGCGCCATGATCAGTGTTGGCAGAACCATTCTGCTCAGTAGCGAGGCGATCAAGAGCTTGGTGCCAATCTTTTCCTCTTCCGTGTCTATGGGAGAATCGTGAGCGGCAGTGTTGCGCGCCAAGTTAGCGCCGAGAACAACCAAGATCAAAGGCACGGCAACACCTCCACTGGACGCAACTGCGTTGGTGACGCTATTCTTCACGAATGAACCATCTTCGAAGAATAGCTGTTGGAGATTCGGGATAGACGCGACGACGACGGCAATAAGCATAGCCCACAAAGGTGGATTCATGAAGTCCCAGACAAATGCGACAGCCTTCATGACTGACATATGGATGAAGGAAAGGCAGGTCCGTACAGGCTGAGGAAGACGCTGGTATTGGCGAGTCATGACCACAGAGGTTTTGTCTTTAAGAGAGCGTAGGGCTTTCTTGACACGAGCGGTAATTCCGTGCTCGACTTCAGCCTCATCTCGAAGACGAATGCGAGGGAATGAAAGAATATCATCTTCCAAGTCTGTATTGGCAAGCGCGCCTCCACGAGTGTAGCCGCCCTTCTTGAAATTCAGTATATCGTCATTGTCGACTGAAGAGCCAGCCAATGAAGCCCGGGAAGTATTCGCAACGGGCGTTCGTCCAGCAGGTATATAATCTTCGGAAGCATTGCTCTCGCCATCATCCTCGGTATCACCGTCCAGGCCACTAATGAGAATCTCTGGCTCCTGTTCGCTGGGCTCTTCGTCCCTGTATCTGTACTGACCTTCCTCGGCAATTTCATCTTGATACTCGGCGTACTTATCTTTGGGGGCCAGCAACACATGATACCCCCAGCTCCATCTGACAAGCTGACCAAGTTGCTGGAAAATCAGTAGATATAAGATGCCGCGAGCGCCGACTTCGTCATCGTTATCGCCAGGTATCCTGTTCCAGTGGAGGCCCTTGATTGTTTGCGAGAGAGAAAGAACCAGAGAAATAGGCAGCGAATTTGAATTGCCAAAGACGCCCATGGCCGTAACAAAGTTGGAAGCTCGCTTGTTGAATCGGAATCCTTTGGCAACCAGGATCGAAACTACCCATGATACGAGGGTTTGTACGACAAAGATGGCAGGGATGATGGCGAGATCGGATAGTTTTTCGGCATTGAGCTGGGATGCTAGCTTGGTGAAGACTAAGGAGAGCAATAGGTTAGACGGCGTTCAGAGAAAAAAAAAGAGTCATTGCAAGAGGGCGCGACATACTAAGGCAGGGCGTGAAGAGCATCACGTTCAGATTAGCCAAGAACTTTTGCTTATCGGCATCGAAGTGGCCAAGGCGCGCGACGATGTATCCCGGTAAGCTCACACAGACTACTTCCAGAACAGCTTCGAAGACGAGCAAGCAGAGGTGCGATAAGGAGGGATGCGATGGCGCAGGCGAAGCTGACTCAAAGACCTTGAGCGGCATGTCATAGGCCTTTTGAGCCAGCACGGCCAGCCGAAACGATGTCGGCGGCGTGAGTGAGGCGGCAGAATCCATCCAATGTGATCCAAGGGCTCAGAGATAATGACTGTGCGTCGGAGGAAAAGCGAAGTTCAATGTTCAATTGAATCGAATCGAGTGGAGTCGTCTCGCTCGTGTATCAGCACTGTTGTGTGTATCGGAGTGTCTCAGGGCGGAATTTCCGGAAATGGGCCAGAAAAGGGAGATGTGAACAAGTGAAAAGAAAAGTAGAAAAACAAAGAAAAGTAGAGTAATGCCTCGGTGAGACCTGCAGAGCGGGAAGCAACCCTTGGGCGGTTCAGAGAAAGCTCAAAGCGTCGTCAGCTAGCCGCTGTCCGGCAATGGAGCTGGGATGAGGTCACCGGGGAGTGCTGTCAGATGTCAGGGGAGTTTGTCAGGCAGGCGATGCCAAACCAGCTAGAGATTGGCCCTTTGCCGTGCAGGCCGTGAGATTGGGGAAAACGGCGAGGATGTGATGCGTGTTAAAATGAGATAGATGGATGCCCAGCAGGCGGCGAGTTGCGCTGTAGAGGAGGGTGGCTGCGCAGCGCCTGTAACGGGGCCATGCTGGAGGCAAAAAAGAGAATGCAGCGGATGGGCCTCCAATAGGGCACTTTTCCCCAGTTGCCCAGCACTGTATGATGCCGCGGTGCGACCTGATGCGTATGAGCGCAGGTAGCACGACTCAGAGATAAGGGAGGCGAATGGTCGCGCAACACGCAAGAGTGACATGGACGAGGCGCGGAAGAGCTGGGCCAAACAAGCTCTGCCGGGGCCAGCTAGCGGCCTCCTAGCTCGCTGGGTGGCATCCAAGTGCCCTCTTGGCGCTTGCTTTGGGGCGAGACGACGCGGCTGATGTCACTCTGCGTAGAGGACTGCGCTGCCAGGTACTTGCGCGGGATACTTCCGCTGGCCAATAGAATCCCCGAATGCGCCCATGAGCCCTCCCAAAGAGGCCTGGCCAGGGGAGAGCAGCACCGATTAGAACCAGCTATCCGGCTGCATTGATTGTGGTCACGTGTTGGCCTGCTTTTTCAATGGCTCTCGCCGGTCTACGTCGTATTGCAGAGCAGAATGGTTTGTCGAGCAGTACACAAGCCAGCCAACCAGCCACCATCGTAGATATGCTGAGGAGGCTTATCCATGGCAATGAAGCATTCGTGGTGAGCTTGTTTACCTTGGCACGCTTGGCGCTGGCGAGCAGATTGACAACGGGACCCTTCAAAGCGTGGCATCCTCAATATGGCTTAGCTCTGTGCGACTGTGCAAGAAGAGCAGAGATAAGGTCGGGCGCCTTGTCTCTTCAGCCGTAGCATGGCATTACATAGGCCCAGCATCTTTAGCAAGACATGCCAGTGCAGGCAGGCTTACACAGCCTCAACCTTGCCGCAACCGCATCGCATCGCATCTCATCTCCAAAACATCCATAGCAGCTCGTGTATACACCGCACTTTGAGATGACGGCTGGCAGGAAATGAGATTGTCTCATCCCTTTTAGAAACAGGCTGCCAGTAACAGAGTGCCAGCAGTGCATCGAATAGTCTCGACGCCTAGCGGGATTGACAGCCTCACTTTTCCCATCACGCAAGGGGGAAGAATCCTGCGATGCAATACTGGGATAATCCATGTCTCGGGCGCCAGGCTATCGGATACTCTCACCTCTACATATTATACAGCATATTAGACTTAACAGTACACAACAAAACGCGTAATGATTCGCAATCCAATTGCTGGTGATAATTCTCAGCCTCGCACAGGTCGCTCCACTATGCAGAAAGTACACCACATCATAGAGACTCGAGCAATCCACCTAAAGCCCAAAGAAACACTCAACGTGGAACCAATGAAGAGTATAACCGACCGCTTATCGGCATCGTGGATACGCACAAATGTCGTGATATGCTCGTAGCTGTTTCAGCCATCACCTCCATGGCAGGAACCCAAAAAATGGCCTCTCGATCGAGATGGTTGATGTTGGAGTACGTCATGATGGACGCGATAGAGGGGGAAATGTGCATCAGTGTTTGAAACGAGCAGGGCGCCGATCCCTGCCCAGCTGGGTTGCACAATGCAAAGAAAAAAGCTTCATAGCTACGAAGTATGATGCATATGAACCGCCAGGGTCTCATTTGATTAGTTCATTAGGTGGTTACTACGGAGCTGCAGTCATCCATGCCGGGCTGAGGGTAGCATCGATGTGGGTACTTTGGACATAATTGGGCTGCCTTAGTAGTGTTTGTGCATCAGACCAAGCATCCGGTGCTGCCTGCATACATGCAGTAGACGAGTAATTCATCCACATCTTAAATACAGCAGTCACTGTAGCATATTTATGCCATCATGAAACGAGATTGCAAACACGGCAAAGGCAATTCAACAGAGACATGAGCCGATGCAAGGGCTGCGACTCGTCCGCCCGCGACGTCAGCTTGTCAGGCATCCGCCAGCATTGCCATGGAAGACCTGCCGTAGCCTCACCTCAGTGGCCCAATAACGAGGGCTGAAGAGCCCAATCGAATGCAGGGCCGTGAGAAACAAACAAACAAACAAACAAACAAGACCAAAAGAGTGATCCTGGGGTAGCCCGGCTTCCGTGGGATGGGCCCCAACTTTTTTTTCCCTCCAGTGGCTTCAGAGGAGGTACAATAGAAGGGCCCGTCGCCTCTAGGCGAACTGACTTGTCATAGCCTTGACCAGTGATAGGCCACTGGTGATAGTCCAAGGCACGGCTCGGGGGCCAGAGGCGGTTTCATAATGAGATCTGTCTGATATGGATCGTCGGGCTGGATTCCGCCGCAGCATGTACCCTCCTATCCAGCAATACCTACGCCTCGGGGGAGCAACTGGCGTCATCGCCATGTAGTGCTCGGGGCGAAAGTACGAAATAGAGAGTACCCGCGGGTGGGATCCACCAACCATCACAGCGGAATTTGGTGGGATGTTCCGCCCAAGAAGCCTCAGAGTCGCTATAGGTCCGTCCAAGTCACAGTCATATTCAACACACGATGAGAGACGCAGCTGCCAAACATTAGCAGCTGCTTGTAGCGCCAGGCCGGCTCCTGTTCAGCGTTTCTACCTAGTTAATAAGCGATTACCTACCTCGCCTACTACTTGATAGTACTTCAAGTCCCTCCTTACCTACCTACCTGCATTTGTACCTAGGAGACGACGGCGATATAAATCATCAACCACAGCCATAACCCCCCTCCCCTTCCTTCCATCATCCTTCTTTCGATTCTTCATCTTGCCCTTTTGTTCTACTTCCGCCCTGCCTGTGGGCATTCTATCGAGCCCAACGCTGGACCCCCTTGTGTCTGTCCTTTTTATCTACATCGATCCGGAGTACACTCATTCCCTCGTCCAGCCCAAAGCTGACTGAATCACGTCACCCTTCACGCCCGGCATAGGCTGCGATTTTAGGCATCTCTGGTCTTCTGACTACCTATTCGCCGCCGTACAGCAGGGTCTGTTCTGCTGAGTCCCCTGCCCGCGGCCGCGAGATAAAGGCATTGGATAGGTAGGTTATTAACCAGTGCAGTGCGCTGGCTCCAGCACCTTTTACCCGGCGACATGGACACAGCGCTGATGCCCACTTTTGGGTCACGATAGACGAAGCTCGCCACCAATCCCGGCGCGCCAATTGAGGGTGGCCTGCTTTATATGACGTGCCGGCACACAGAGACACCGCCTGACGATTATCCTGCATTTGACGCACGTCGGGCCTTCGCATCGTCATCGTCATTACCGCGCCAGAAAGCACCAGAATATCCAACCAAACCCCGCACAACTTTGCATCTGTTTAGCACTCGCTTGGCCTATCGCAGGCTAGCATCCACTGCAAGGCTCAGCAAGGTTGTGCCTTGGTAGAGGGAGCAATTGGTTCCATTGTCTGTGCCGCAGCGCCGTTCAGGTCACTGGGCCAAAAACAGCCAGCAGGTACGTCGATGGCTCCGGGAATTGGCCAACGAGCGTTCCTGGCCTTGTCTGTTATTTGTTCCCTGATCGATACCTGACACTGCCACAGCACAGTCTACGTATTGTAAATATACTTCGATGACTTAGCAAGCTTCTCTGCGTTGCTTCAACATCATTGACCAAGAAAAGAACAAAAGAAGAAGAAAAAAAGCTGCGCCTGGGACTCGTATAAGACAGACGACCCGCCACAGCTTCCTGGCCGTTGACAATAAAATTTCTTCTAGCCTTTTCGCAACTGCCGGTGCCAACACAGCCCTGCAAAGCCCTCAGCAAACAAGCCTGGCGGATCCGGGCTCATTTAAGGTACGCTCCATCTATAGCTCCGGGCACATGGACGAGGCAAGCGCCGTTTCATACATAAAAGTCGAAATCCGCTCTGCAAGTGGCGTCGCAAATTCTCAAGCCCGCGATGATCAGGCCGGCGCTGGGCTAACCGTTGCGTGTAGCTTGTCGCTCTGTCTTTCCTAATTTCTATTTCCCCTCTCTTTCGCGTCGCCCCACGAACGAAAAACGCATTGTGTCAGAAGGTGCACGTACAGACCGAGCGATAGCCGAGCACTTCATCGACTGCTCTGCTTCTTCCCTGGGTCGTGCAAAAGTCTAGACCGGCCTAGTCTTTGAGGAGCGTAGTCCGACAGGACCAAACCGTCCGCCGTCCGCCTCCCGCGAATCGGCCGTCATCAAAGGGAATTGTCAGCGACGAAGCATCCGGATAACCCCACCTTGGTCAAGCTTCAAAGCCTCGGACCACCCGCATCGTCAACGTCCACCGCTGAAGAAAAATAACAAGGAAAACACTCCTCGTCCTCATAGTGGCCGGGTCGCTGGGCCTTTGCCTCTGCGACGCCGCGCATCTTCGATCGAGCACAGTAGCTCCGTTGGGTAGCTTCTCTTTTCAAAAACTGGGGTCTCCATCTCTACCACCTGCGAGTCCATCTCCGTCACAATCTCTACCACCTCCGCTCTGAGCAAATATCCACGCAACTACGTCTCTCCAACCGCCACGATGAGCGGTACTGATTCTATCCCGGCCACGCCGGACAGCGTATCCGACGGCACTCGAGAACTCTCTGCGCAGGCATCGCCGTTCTCTGAGGACTCGTCCATAGCCGGAACCCCCAACGGCGACGAGCTGGGCGAATCTCCCAGCTCTCCCAAGAGACTCCCATCCCTCAACACTTTCGCCGATCCCCGAAATATGAACCCTAGCTCAACTGCTCTGGGAATGTTGGGCAAAGCAAGAAATCCTTCCCAGACGGGCTCATCCTTTGCTGCCGGCGCTGGAGCCATGGAAAACAGCGTCATGGCCAAGGCGCGCGCGCTTCACCAACAACGATTGCAGAAAGGAATGGCAGCGGCGGGCAGCTCACCTGTCTCACCAATGCCTTCGCCTGGGGGACCTGTAGCTCCTGGCCTCCATAATCTGCGCATGCCCCCAGCAATGCAGCGTCCCGGTCCTGGACCACACCACAGATCAGCTCCGGCCCTACCAAAGCCTTCTCTCAGCGAGCGAAGAGCCAACATGGGCATTGGAGGAATGAAACTATCGGATATGGGTGGCGGCGGTAGCCCTGGTCCGGGTGGCATGCGCCGAGCGGGAGCTCCATCTCTCTCCGGATTGCCTCAACCAAGCGCGGTGCCTAATGGCAAATCGTCTCTGGGGTCCAAACTAGACGACTTTAAGAAGTATATCGATACAGAGAAGGGCTGGATCACTTTTGACGGCGCAGCTACCATCACCCGCACTGGAGTAAACTTTTCCAATGGCCAGACCTTTAAAATATCCCTGGATGAGGTGGAGATAATAGACGAGTTAGGAAAAGGCAACTATGGAACAGTGTACAAGGTCAGACATGCGAAGCCGAGTGTACCACGCTTTGGGCCAGGATTATCTGGAACCAAGCTGCAGCATCCACAGCCGCACCGAAGTCAATCAGACTCTGCTGTCCCAGATGCTGCAAATGCGCTGGAAAGTCAAGCTGGCAAAGTCATGGCCATGAAGGAAATCCGCCTCGAGCTCGACGATGCCAAGTTCACCACTATTCTCAAAGAGCTGGTCATCTTACACGAGTGTGTATCGCCATTCATCATCGACTTCTACGGAGCTTTCTTCCAGGAAGGTGCCGTATACATGTGCATTGAATACATGGATGGTGGCTCCATTGATAAGATCTATGCCGGAGGTATCCCCGAAAACATCCTTCGGAAGATTACTTATTCGGCTGTGATGGGTCTCAAGTCACTAAAGGACGAGCATAACATCATCCATCGAGACGTCAAGCCGACGAATATCCTGGCCAATACGCGAGGTCAGATCAAAATCTGTGACTTTGGCGTCAGTGGCAACCTTGTGGCCAGCATTGCCAAGACAAACATTGGGTGCCAGAGTTACATGGCTCCCGAACGAATCTCTGGAGGGGCCATGTCACAGGCGGGCAACTCAGATGGCACCTACAGTGTTCAAAGTGATGTCTGGAGCTTAGGCCTGACAGTCATCGAGTGCGCTATGGGTCGATATCCATACCCCCCTGAAGCCTCGTCCACTATTTTCAGCCAACTGAATGTAAGTTGTTATTGACCTAGTGATGATATCTACCGCTGACTAACTGCGTCTTAGGCCATTGTTGAAGGCGAGCCGCCGGCTATGCCAGAGACTGGTTACTCCGATTTGGCAAAGGACTTTGTCAAGAGCTGTCTTCATAAGATACCAAAGATGCGCCCGACATATGCCATGCTACTTAAACATCCCTGGATCCAGTCTTTATCTAAGCCAGAAACGATTACTGAAGTCGCCGAAGATGACGAGGCCACAGACAAGATAGCAGAAGCGGTAGGACATATGGATCTGAGCTCGGGCACGGAAGATGCCGAAGTTGCTGAATGGGTCAAGTCTGTGCTGAAAAAGAACGCAGAGGGGCACAACGGCGTTGGCCCCAGCAAACCCGCGCTTCATGCTGCACCTCTCGATAGCATCAGCCCTCTAGGAAGCCCTATCCTCAGCCAAGGCCAAGGCCAATGAAAGTCGCAAACCTACAATGAAAGAAAGGAATCTGCATTACAACACACGCCAACAAGAGCTGGCATCTGAGTTGGCTCAATCTATCAGCACCAAGCAAAAGAAAAGCATAGAGCGGGAAGGCAAATTGATAGCGGAGGAGACACTAAACCGGCTCTTCCTCTGTATAAAATTAAGCAAAGGTCCTTTTTTTCCCCAGAAAAAAAAAAGAATTAGCTGTCCTACCCCTCTTCAATTGCACAAGCATGCGGACATATATATATACACACAAAAAAAAGCATTTCGCCCCTGCCTATGTTCACACAACGAACACATGTATACACACGCATTTGGGCCACAATTTTTTCTTTCTTAGACGGGGGTTCACATATATTCAAAGGGAGCTATAAGCGGATGATACTCTTTCTTTGTTCCATTTTTCTCTCTTTTTGCTTGCTCATACTATCGGCACAAATTTCTTTCTATTCCCCCCCTTTTTTTTTAAATCCAAATTTCATTTGCTTTTTTTTTTTTTTTGTCCTTTGGTAGGCAAGATTTGGGAGGTAAAGTTTGGCAATTGAAAGATTTTTAAGGGAGTTGGGGGGAAGGGGGGATGTCATGGTGTATACGGCGGGAAGGATTTTTTGGGAGGACTATTTTTTTCTTTTTTTGTTCGTATATTAAGATAACGCACAAGCATGGTCAAGAAAACGAGGGCAGCCTGCACCGTAATTAAAATTATTCATATACAAGATTGACATGACTGAGAGGCAAGATGCAATGACTAGTACATTTTGAAGCGTTTGAGAAATTGATATTTCATTATTATCATTGGGCCCCTATGTAACCATGATTGCTTATTACCAACTAGCGAGGGTCTTGTGCTACCAAATAATAAGAATAAATTCATAAGCTATCATCAAGGGTCAAAACAGACATTACTATAACCCCCTTCACGTTCCTTTCCTCCACTCATTAATTATTGCTCAGAACGTGATGTCTTCCACCATTAGGTACTAAAGTAAGTGTATTATTATACGCTCGGGAGACAGCATAGGCCAGTCATCGCCCGCTTTACACTGCAACTCTTGTCGTTCCATCAGCCCCAATACTAACATTACTTCTTTCCTGTTCAACATACGTGTCTTGTCAAAAAGAAAGCTGTAAGCGAGATGTTGTGTTTTGCCATAGAGAAAGATTTACGAATACTCTTCTTTGACTCGGCGACCGTCGTAGGAGCGGCCCCGACTTCCAGTCGGTTCGCGAGAGCTTTGCCGGCGACGAAAGTCGAAAGTGGGATTTGAGCGTATGCCCAGCGCGAAGAGAATGACAGCGATGAGAAGGGCCGTGTAGGAACCCCAGAGGAAACCAAAGGCCCAGGGTCCAATCTTGGCAGAGCGGCCAACGTCGTGGAAGCGGTTGCGGGCTTCGCAGAATGTAGCGCTGTGCAGCGTGAATCGTTTAGCAAATTGGCAATTTTTTTTTTTTTTTTGGAAATAATACGTGACATAAGGAGAGACAGAGGGAGAGGGAGGGAGAAGGTAATTAAGCAAGAGATGGGGATTCTGCAAAGGGTATTGGGAGTCAACATACGTTATGATAGATACGGCGAGCGTATAGAAGAAGAGAGCAATGCTAGAGACGACAAAGGCTAGCGCTGCGCCGAGACGGCCGCAGCAGGCCAGGATCGAAGTGAAGAAAGCCACGACTTCGAAGAAGAGCGTCATGAGCAAAAACACCCAACCAAAGCGCCACATGTAGAAGTAATGGAACGACGTCGTGTGGCTGCCATGGCTACCACCGAGCCCCGGCGGCACGTTCTGCGCATTGCTGGCCCAGGCAAAGCCGAAAGGAATGGCTGGATGAGAAGGACCACAGTCGTTGTTGTTCAGGCCGCAGATGAAGAAGTAGGTCCACTGGGAAACGTCGCGGGCGCCTGTGATGCCGCTGGTGTCGGCGCGAAGATAGTATGTGTGGCGGAAGGGCGTGTCGTGCGTGACGCCGGGGAGGATGATGAACCAGATAAAGAGCTGAGAGACGCAGAGGAGTATGAAGCCGATGGAGCCTAAAAGAGCGTCTGTGAGGATGTGGTTTGGTTAGCCTAGGCTGTAGTTGGTGTTGTTTATTTATACGTTATATTTATATTTTCTATCGGACCTTGTGCAATTGATCAAGTGGTTCATGATATTTCCGATGATGCTTGACAGTGATCTCAAAGAGGAATTGATTCACTCACTCTTGGGCATTGTGGATCAGCTTTGTAATGCGTAATCCCCGTATAAGTGGCGAGTAAGGAGGTAAGGAAGATAGAGAGATAGAGCAAAGAAGAAGTAAAGTAGAAGCCTTCGCGAAGCTCGCTCTTTCAATCCAATTAATTGTAGTGGTTAATTGTTATTATAATAGTATCAATATCAATATTGATAGCGATAGTGATGCGAGATGTTATGACGTCGCGATAGATCCAGCTAGGCCATGCGGTTGCAGGGAACCCTGTTTGGGCTAGGATGATGCAGCTAGATCTGTAGCCTCTTGTTGGACAGGGGAGAGCTTCAGCGGAGGTCTGCCGGTGAAAGAAACACAAAGCCGGTGAAGGCGATCAGAGGAGATTAAAAATATGCGCTCGTTAGTGACAGAGATTTAGAGTATACGAGCGAGGGAAAGAAATACGCAGAGCAGAGGCTGAGCCTGGGGAGGAGAGAAATGAGCTGGATGGGCAGCTCCTGGGGGCAAAGAGCGGCGGGGCTGATGATGCAGTTTCTCGAGCCACCGAGGGCGGGAGTTACTCGAGCAGGTATGCGATACATTGATGCCAAACGGGGAGTGCCCAAAGCCGCTTCGTATCATGTACACCACGCAGTAATCCAGGCACTCGCAGTTCACAGTCAGGCGATCGGCCAAGATGCAGCAGCAGCTCCAAGATGCTAGCGCCAAGAAGCTTTTTCCAGCGGGTTAGCGCTGGGAAGTGCCTGCCGTGTGGGCGTGGCGCTGCACTCAATTCAGGCGACGAGAGGCCATCGTGGAGAGGCGATGACGACACGACGGTTGGCGAATGGCAGGAGAGAAGAAGCCTCAATTGACAATTTCTGGGGCCGTGAGACTGTCGTCGTTTGTACATGCACATTCTAATGTGATGAGTGAAGCCACCACGACGAGTGAATGCTGCCTATTCCAGCTAGACGTCGGAAGCTTGGACTGTCTACTATCTACTATCTACCTTACATGTGAGCAGTACGAGACGAGGCCTCAGCACCTTAAAGTGCCACCCAAGGTTCACCGCGACTGGAGACGAAGCTTCATGCTAGGTCCCCTCATAGCACCAGAACAAGCACGTCGCATTCCACGCATTTGCGTCCTGACAATGACAAGTGCTACACGCCATCACCTGCACCATTGGCCGACGCTTGCGCAAACCTTGTTGGTTCAGCCTCCACAGCGGGTGTATGAAGCTTTGATGTCATAAAAGGAGCGGCCAATTGGGCGACGGCCTGGTGGTGCAAAAGCTGGATGAGGTGGCCGCGGTGGACGCGGGATGAGGCGTCAACAAGCACGGCAGCATTGCATCATCTACACGCCTTCCGGCACAGGTGGCATTCCGATTTGCTTCCTCCTTGATCTTATTCCATCGCGCTGGGGATTTGGAGGCTGTCACCGGTCCAGCTTTCGCCAGCAGCGTCACGTCAGCAGCATCCACCACATTGCCTTTAGCGGCCCCCCGGCGCTATCCGCCATATTAGCGTTTGGTGGTGCTACGACACGATTTCGCAATGTTAGCAGCAGCCTGCTAACGCCTACCTTAATCACTAATGCTGCAACATCACATCACCAACCTTGTCCCAGTTTCTTTATTCCTCTTACGGCCATTTCGTTTTTCTAAGAGTAACTCAATTCAGAGCTGCTGCTAGTAGCGCAGCCAAGTCACAAGATGCGGCACGTGCCCCGCTTGCAGCTCAGAGCAGCATTGGCGGCATCGGCATCTCACAGAGCTGGCTTGTCAATTGCAGGCCGACGTTGCCAGACTACATCTTCAAAAGCCTCCTTGCTGGAGCACCAGCATCTCATAGGGGATAACTCTACCGGCCTCACGAGCTATGAAGCTGCTGAAGATGTCCAGGAGGAGCATCGAGCCAGATTTCTGACCTGGAAGGGACTCCCTGAGAAGTCGAGAACACAAGGTGATTGTCCTCGGCCTCAGCTCATCTCATTCGAGTCTACGCCGACCTTTACTCTTGGTCGTCGACAAGATGATCTTATTCCGGAGCAAAGGTTCCATCTGGAACAGCCGCTGGACGTCCATCTCCTTCAGCGACCTCAGCCCATCGAAGGGCTCTTTTATCCTCAGGTGAAAAAGACGAACCGCGGAGGCCTCACTACTTACCATGGCCCTGGTCAACTAGTTCTTTGGCCCGTATTGGATATGCACTCTCCTCTGTATCCCAAGTATAGTGTCTCCTCGTTTGCTAGCCACCTAGAGGCAACCACGCAGCGCTTTCTTTCTGAGCTTTTCGATATCCAAACATACACCAACCGCGATGAGCCCGGCGTTTGGGTTCAAGAGTCGTCAGGCCCGCCTCGTAAGATTGCAGCTCTCGGAGTCCATCACCGGCGGTATGTCACGGCACTTGGCACAGCCATCAACATCGATGTCTCCGTCAAGGGTTTAGAACGTTTGAATCCGTGGGCTCGGTTCGTTCCGTGCGGGCTCGAAGGAAAGCTGGCAACTTCTGTAGTAGCTGAGCTTGGTAGTGCTGCTCAAGGCATGTCCTTTGACTTATTCGAATTGGCACAACATTGGGCTACCATATTTGAACAAGGGTTGAAAGATGCATCAAAGCGAGGTGCCGATCTGGGACGATAACCTGTCGTTTTGACGATAAGCAAAGACAAGAGTGTGACAATTTGATCGCTCGGCGTGAGTAAAGAATATTATTTCCTTTCACATGATCGCCAAGAGATGTCAACCGCCGCCCTAAAAGATATGAGAGGCGAGAGAGCGAAACTCACCACATATCGAAGCTGCCGTTATCATTGATCAACACTATGAAAGCTTTACGTACAGCAAAGAACATTGACATGAAAGTAGTTCAGCTCTGTCCAACCCCCACGGGAGTGCATTCCACGGAGAAGCAGATATAGCCATAACGGCAAATAATATCCAATGATATCTTTTATGTCATGAAAAGATTCCTTTTTTTTTATCATACAAACATTTCTTTACGTGTTATCTATCCGAGGAGATAGACGTCTCCACGGATATATCAGCCTATGATGTTTTACGAATGCACGCTGACGTCCTTTTTCGCGTGTTTCAGTGGTATCAGTGCCAATCCGTCTATCTAGAAAACACGGACGTCGAAAATAAGTCAAGAAAGCAACCGGTATTGCCCGAGTAGGCTGATGAACGCCCTTGTATTCTGTATATGGCAGATATCCTTATCTGTCTTCGCCAGGACGAAAAGAGTGGGGCTACCCCATGGATCATCTGCCATTGCGATCTCCTTTATCGTCGCATTCATACAGATAGGAGGGCAAAGCGATTAATTGCCTGATGACTGTTATCTGATGAATCATTGACACCCCGCCTTATCTCTGCCGTCGCCAGTCCAACGGGCCGCTCTCTTTATTTGCTGGGTGCCGAGTCGGAGTATGGGGTAGCTTTGCGGGGGCAATCTGGGACAGCGATTGCTATCATGGCCTTATCTCAGCTCGTAGCCCGCAAAAGTGCTGGCATTCTCGAGCCAACCAGATCCCTACAACGCCAACGACGTTCCTGATAAGCGATGCATCTGCAGCTATCTTGCCATTTAGCCTGCATTTGCTTCTGATACAGCATTGATCCTATATCGGCTCCCTTGCCGCAAAACCAGTGCTTACCCAGAAGCCGTATCTTTTGATGTGATGATGCTAGTACTTCACTGCAGATCAGATCAGCAGCCCTACGAGATTGATTGCTTCGGTTGGCCGCAATCCATGAGCGCGCAACTTTATTTTGCTTATTCTCGTTATAACTAATAGAATTTGACTTTTAATCTTATCGTTTTTTAAGCTAAAATATCGCAATCTGCAAAATGGAAATACTACTGCTGCGGATTGAAGATTTGGGGGTTTGATGCCCTGCAAAAAGAAGACGGGTTGGTTTTGGAACGAGAAAAAGAAAAGAGCTTTGCGCTATTATCCATGGGTTGAGATGGAATCGGCAGCCTCCGTGATCGAATGCAGAGCACCAAGATAACATATCGTGCAATGTGAGGCGCTACATAACTAAGCATCTCTCCCTTCGCTACCGCATTTAGATAGTTTTACAAGTAAGACATTCTGGATGAGACGAAGCATCTCACAGCTCTTTGCGTGGAATCGTCATGTCTGACTCGAGTGCCACTCCATTGGGTCAAGGCTATGGCTATGGCATTGTCCTTGGCCTGGGCTTTGCATTTGCCATCTTCATGGTGAGTTTGAATGCCTCTATCCCATCATACTATCCGGCCATTCCTAGATATGGGAAATATGTCCTAATACGTGGCTTACAGATTACCGTTACTCACATTCTCAAACGATTCAACAATGAAGTTCAAACATCGGAAATGTTCAACACGGCTGGCCGCACCGTAAAATCCGGCCTAGTAGCCTCTGCCGTCGTCTCCTCCTGGACCTGGGCTGCGACCCTATTACAGAGCTCCGGCGTGTGCTATCGTTACGGAGTCTCAGGCCCCTTTTGGTACGCCTCAGGAGCTACCGTTCAGATCTTACTGTTCGCTACGATAGCTATAACGCTCAAGAAGCGAGCGCCGAATGCCCATACATTCCTGGAAGTCATCAAGGCGAGATACGGCAAAGCAGCACATTTCACCTTCATCGTATTCGGCCTCATGACCAATATGCTTGTATCCCTCATGCTGATTACAGGAGGAGCCGCAACAGTAAATGCTTTGACGGGAATGCATGGCGTGGCCGCAATCTTCCTCATCCCCATTCCTGTAGTAGCTTATACTGTTTCTGGAGGCCTGAAGGCAACCTTCATTACAGATTATATTCACACCTTTGCGGTCCTCATTATCATTATGATATTTGCACTCAAGACGTATGCCACTTCGGATGTTCTTGGTAGCCCGTCAGCCGTATATGATCTCCTGGTAAAAGCTGCCCAGGCCCATCCCGTCTCTGGCAACCGGGACGGCAGCTATCTCACCATGAGATCCCAAGGCGGCGCCATCTTCTTCGTCATTAATATTGTTGGAAACTTTGGCACTGTGTTCTTGGACAACGGCTATTACAATAAATCTATAGCAGCATCTCCAATTCACGCGTTGCCTGGATATATCATGGGCGGTGCGGCGTGGTTTGCCATTCCGTGGTTGACGGCCACGACTCTCGGCCTCGCGGCTCTGGCCCTTGAGTCTAGCCCTCAGTTTCCGACATATCCTAACCGCCTGACAGATTCTCAGGTTTCTGCTGGACTGGCGCTTCCTTATGCCGCAGTGGCTCTCATGGGCAAAGGCGGCGCAATTGCAACTCTCATCATGCTATTCTTGGCCGTCACTTCGGCTTTCAGTGCTGAGCTGGTGGCTACCTCTACCATCTTTACTTACGATATTTACAAGACTTACTTCCGCCCTAATGCCAGCAGCAAAAGCCTTGTCTGGATGTCTCACATGTGCATGGTCGGCTATATGATTGTTGTCTGCTGCATCTCCACGGGCCTGTGGTACAATGGTATCTCCATGGGTTACCTCTACCTCCTCATGGGTGTGTTGATCTCAGCTGCCGTGATCCCAGCCACGTTGACTTTGTTATGGAACGGTCAAAACCGCTGGGCAGCGATACTCTCGCCTATTCTCGGTACAATCTGTTCAATCGTCGCCTGGCTAGTAACAGCAAAGAAGACGTGCGGCAAGCTGGACGTCGACTGCACGGGCTCAAATGACCCGATGCTAGCTGGCAATGTGACTGCGCTGCTAGCACCGGTTATCTTTGTGCCACTGCTTTGCCTTATCTTCGGTTTCGATAAGTACGATTGGCAATCCATGATGGAAATTCGAAAGGTGGACGATCACGATATCATTCAGGAGTCGGGGCTCGACCGCGAAGCACAACGAGAGTTGGAGAGAAACCAGGAGCGAACGGAGTCTGAAGAAGAGCGACGGAAGCTGAACAAGGCGTTCAAAATCGCTTCCTTTGTTACTGTTTTCATGTAAGACTGTTTCCACAAGTAAATCACCCTCCACCTTTTCACTAACATAACAAACAGGGCTATCGCTTTTCTCGTCCTTTGGCCAATGCCCATGTACGGCACCGGTTATATATTCTCTAAACCTTTCTTCACCGGCTGGGTAACCGTAGGCATCATTTGGATCTTCTGCTCGTTTATTTGCGTGGGCTTGTATCCCATATGGGAGAGCAGAGCGACGTTGACGAGAGTGCTCGGAGGAATTCTCACGGGCAAGAGACCTACAGCCGTTACGATGGTCATTGAAAGCGAAGATAGCGGGACTTTGACACCGGAAAAGGAGTATATGAAAGAAGGGTCCATCTAATGAGAGAAGAGAGGGCAAAGTAGGAAAGAAGATGTTTAGATTTTGTACAGGTTTCAAGACTATCTACTAATATAATTTCTATCAACCAGAGAAGTGTAACCCAAAGTTGTACGCTCCCGTCTATAACAAACGTATACTAAACTTTCTCTCACGCCGCATCATTTTCTTCTTCTCTAACAATCTTCTTCAACACCCTCGCCGGATTCCCCACCACCACAACTCCCTCCGGCACATCCTTCGTCACAACGCTGCCCGCACCAACCACGGATCCCTTGCCAATCGTCACTCCCGCCAAGACCGTCACGCCACCACCGAGCCAGCAATCCTCACCAACGACGATTGGCTTTCCAGACTCTGGGCCGCGGGTGCCGTTCCGCACGCGGTGGTCCAGCGGATGTGTGCCCGAGTAGAAGCTGCAGCCGGGACCCATGAGGGTGCGGGCGCCGATAGTGATGGAGCAGGTATCGATCCAGGTGCTGTTTGCGTTGACGAAGACATTTTTGCCGAGACTTTTTTTGTTTTAGCACAAGTGTTGGTTTTTGTTTTTCAATTTCTTGTTTGGGGGGCTAAGAGTGAGAGGAACGTTTACCTGACGTTGTATCCGTAGTCCATTTTCAGGGGCCCTTCGACGATTGGGTAGTCGTCTAGGAGTGCTTCGTCTTCTTCTTCGGTTGGTGCTTTTGGGGGTAATGGGGTTTGGTCTCTGGTGATTCTGACGCGGAAAATGATGTGAGTAAAATGGTGGAAATCTCACATTAAATGAATGAATACAAAAAAAAAAAAAAAAAAAAACATAATCATAGGAATTACAAAAAGCCATATTTAAATAAAGAAAAGAAAAAAAAAGGGGGGGAGGTTAAAATAAGTAAGTAGATCAAAACATACTCTCTCCAAATCTCAGCCAACTCTCTCCTCGTGGGCTCCACAGCAGTGTTCAACTTTCTACACGCCCTCGCGCACTCCTTTCGATCTTGGATGAGATCCGGCGTAAAGGCATAGTACAAGTCGCCGCGGAGCATGCGCTTTCGGTTTTCCGCCAGATCTATGGGCGCACCATCGGGGGCTTGGGCTGCCATGGTAACAATAATTGACGATGTGATATATATATAGGTATATATATATATATATAGGTATATGTATCAATATTTACGTGGGAGCCTGCAAGAGTGTCAAACAAAGTCGAGAGAGTTGGTTGCTTTGAAAGTGAACAGGTTGAGAATGAGCATAAAGCGGGGGGTGATGGGGACTCTAGTTACTTAGTGTCGGTGGGCCTTGGAGCTTCGTGAGTTGAAACATGGGGGGGTTGTCAACTCTGTGAATACGACTCCATCGAGGCTTAGACTCGATTTAGCCGAGTCAATCGAGGATATCGCATCGATTGCTAGAGTCCATGTTTGGGTGAAAAGCATCCACTATTCTATTTTGGAAATGTTTCGGACTAACTCCAACTTATTCCAAACTTACCTCCGGGTATATTATACCTCCTACAACTAATATCACGTCCCTAAATCAAACTTCATGCTTTTTTGATGAATAGTATCACGGCTCTACATCAGACTACACTCTGCATTAGCTCACTAATAATACTCGAGAGCCATCAAAATGAAAATTATATACTAACATTTTCAACCCGGATATGCTCCGTTAATGGCTTGCAAAATTATCGTCATAAGCTAAAGTACAAAGCAAGCCCTACATTTATCCAAGACCGTATCGACATAAAAAAAAAATAAAAAATGGACAGTAAATAGTAGATTCCTCCCCAACCTACTGTTAGGTAAGGCTCAGAATGAAAACCCTTTTTTTAAAAAGGAAATAGAATAATGGCTCCCATAAAAGACACATAAACCAAAAAAGCCCCAAACTTCTATGAGTCTATACCTTATAAGACAATCTGTACAGCCATAACAATTGCCAGGCCAACCAAGCTAGCACTCATCACAGAAGCACCGTTCGCTCCGGGAATGCTAGGAATCGTGGAAGGTCCAGATGGAACACTGCTCCAGCTTCCAGAGGGCGACGCGCTGCCAGAGCCACCGCTAGGGTAAGGCGAGCCCGCACCAACGGGGATAGTTGGCTGGCTTGGGGGGCTGGAGAAAGCACTGCTTTCACCAGAAGAGCCCTGGGGAGCCCCAGCGGAGGTGGCGGGCTTGACAAGCGTTTGGAGACCGCTGGAACTAGCCGCACCAGTAGGAACGGCAGCCTCGACAACTGGGCCGGAAGGTTGTCCAACTGCCGTGATCTGTGGGAAGCCACTGCCACCACCGAGTCCAACAGGGCTGCTAGTTACCCCAGGCTGGGAACCCTCCTTGGTCGCCGTAGCCTCGGGAGTCTTGGTTGCATCACTAACAGGGCAGACAGTGGTGTATAAAGCAATGGTCTCTGTAGTTACGTAGCCTCCTGCTGGGCAGTCGATAACGTAGGGTGGACACTTTGTAACAGTGTGTACAGATGTAGTATAAACAACGCTGGTTGTCAAAGAAACGGATGCAGAGCCAGAGGTCGTTGTTGCTGGGTTGCGAACAGCTGTCGAGGCAATCGATGAGTTTGACCATCGACTGATTGTCGTGGATTGCAAAACAACGACCGAACTAGAAGAGCTTGGAACCGCGCTCGAGGTAGTAACGCCTTTGTTCACATCCGACACCGAGGATGTTGGCTTCACAGATGTAGTAGAAGAGACAGACTTTGAAGTTGTAGAGGCCTTGGTGGATGTGGAGGCCACTGAGGTCGTGGCTTTGGATGTAGTGCTTGGCTTTGATGTAGTGCTTACTGTCGACGAGGTGCTCGCTTTTGACGTAGAGCTCGCTTTGGAAGTGGAACTCGTCTTAGAGGTGGTGCTTATCTTGGAGGTGGCGCCGGCCGTTGAAGTAGAGCTCACCTTGGTAGTGCTGGCCTTCGTCGTGGTGCTTGCCTTTGACGTGCTGCTTGCTTTTGACGTCGTCGAAGCCTTCGAGGTCGTAGACGCCTTAGAAGTAGTGCTTGCTTTCGAAGTCGTGCTTGTCTTCAAAGTGGTGCTCGCCTTGGAAGTTGTGCTAGCCTTTGACGTAGTGCTAGCCTTGGAAGTAGTACTGGCTTTCGAAGTAGAAGATTCCTTGGACGTGGTGCTCACTTTCGAGGTAGTGCTTGCCTTCGAGGTCGTAGATGCCTTCGAAGTTGTAGATACCTTGGAAGTAGTGCTTGCCTTTGACGTAGTGGACGCCTTAGATGTTGTAGAAGCCTTGGAAGTCGTGCTCACTTTGGAAGTAGAGCTTGACTTGGAAGTAGTCGAGGCCTTTGAGGTCGTAGACACCTTTGAGCTGGTAGTTGCCTTAGACGTGGTTGACGCTTTGGAAGTTGTCGAGACCTTGGAAGTTGTCGAGGCCTTGGAAGTAGTAGAAGCCTTCGAGGTTGTAGAAGCCTTTGATGTAGTGGACGCCTTGGAAGTCGTGCTCACTTTGGAAGTAGAGCTCGCCTTGGAAGTTGTAGACGAAGCCTTGGAGGTTGTAGACGAAGCCTTGGAGGTTGTAGACGAAGCCTTGGAAGTCGTAGACGAAGCCTTGGAAGTCGTAGACGAAGCCTTGGAAGTCGTAGAAGAAGCCTTGGAAGTCGTAGAAGAAGCCTTGGAAGTCGTAGACGAAGCCTTGGAAGTGGTGGTGCTCACAACCGTGGTCGTCGAGGAGGTGGGACCAGGGTAGGGGTTGCATCCGTACTGAAGCGCCTCCAGAGCCCATTGGTTGAACGACGTTCCGTTGATGTTGTTAACCAGACCACGAGACAAATCCCACAGGGAGAGACCACCAAAGTGGGGTCTACCCTGGTACTGGCAGATCAAATTCTTCACAGCAATGGGATCGATATAACCAGTTTCCTTCTCCTCCTGAATGGCAGGGAGACCAATGTATAGTTTCGCCGACTTGCTCTTCGCGCTGTTGGCAATAATGGTTTCCCAGTCGTCATAGTTGAACTTATCGCCAGGGGAGTTACCAGCAATAGCATCACACCCCGGGTTGTTGTAGAACTGAATAAAGAGCTTATCAAAGGCAGCCTGCGTGATCAAGTCCTTGAGGTAAAAGTTCCCAGAGTCAGTAGGGCATTGAGGAGCAGCGGTAATGATCAATGATGGGTCAAGGGAACGGAACGTGTTGACCATATCGATATAGGGTCCATTTCCTTTTGCTAACACACAACTCGTCTTAGCAGTCGGTATCAACCAGAAGTCAAAAGGGGGTGGGACAACTCACGAAACTTCATCTCGATATCGAAATCAAAGCCATCAACCGAGGTATGGTCAGTGGGACTCGCATCAAAAGGGCGAGGGCCCGTCCAGCTAGAATTATAGGGACCAAAAGCATTGTAAAGGAACGTGGCAAATTCGGTACCCGTGGAGTTATCCGGGACGGAATAGTTGGATGTCGCCGAGTAGACTCCTCCGATACTCAGAATGACCTTGACGCCTTTGGCCTTGCAGTAGGGGATATCGGCTTGAAGGGACATACAGTGGCTCAAAAGATTTGACGCCACACCGTTTTCATTAACATAGACATCTCCCCAGCAGTTGGGTCCAAAGTTGATACCGGGATAGCCAGAGTCATCGACGGTATCGGGGGCATTGTTGACAAAGCCCAGCGTGATTGAATCAACACCGCTATCACAGTGTGTTCGAATGCCTTCGAGGGTGCCATATTGCCCCTTGATGTTGGTTGTTAGCAGGATGCTCCGTAGTTTGGGGAGGGAAAGAGAGAGACAATCGTCAACATACCCAATAGCCATTAAGAACGCCGGCGGCGGCAGCCAGACCAGCGTTCGCCACAAGGGCAGCAGCAGTGAGAGAAACCATATTAATGATTGACTAGTTTAAACAGGAAAAAGACCGCAAGATGGCCGAAGCCAGTGAAAAATGAGTGTGGCGATGATGCAAGATCAACGAAAGGACGCAAACGAAACCGTCTGCAGCTTGGCTGAGGGACCGAGCCTTCTCTGGAGTTGACAGAGACAGAGTTGTACAGAGAGAAGAAAAGGAAAACACAAAAGGAGTCAACAGCTGAGAGACGACCATCTAGTTTTTTACTTGCCCACCCTTATTCGGGCCCTACTGTAAACTACCACCGCCGAAAGTGCTTCCATCGTGGACTCGGCCATTTCCTTTCTCGGCCACCCAAGGGCCTCACTGCCTAAGGCCCATCCGATTCCAGCGCGGAACTGGGCTCATATGCGAGTTTGGGTCTTGGCACAATCTCCCCGTCATGAGCTATGACGGATGGAGGCCCCCGTGAAGCCTGATTTGTCTAGACATGACCTTTCAACGGCAAGAAGGTGGGCAGACTGCATGGAGACCATGGGTAACGTAACCCAACCAACGCTGCAGAATCTAGGAACAGGTTTAGTGATATCTGGTGCCGGACACATGGACAACAAACGCCATTGGCCAAACCCAAGGGTTCCTTGTCCAGATTTCAACGTTTTGGGGCGTGTACACCCGTGGTATCCGTGATAGAGCTTCTGGAGTGTGCGCTCTTTTCCGCACGCATGACCACGGCGAAATGCTACGCAGTGTTGGTCTTGCAACCAACAGCGTGACCATTCAGGTACAAATCATTTAAGTGCTAGCACTAGCAGCCATGAACCTAAGGCCATTGTCAGCCTGATTGGCTACCTACTTGTGGTAGTGCTTAGAGCGGCAACAGTGGTTCGAACTCACCAAGCTGAAAGCCGAGCGTTTTCGAAGGCAATTCGTATTCCATCAAATGCCCAATATAACAAAGCAGAGTCACCCGAAGATACCATGGCCATGGGAAGTCATCGTCATCTCATACATATCACAGATTTCACGACAAAAATAAGCTTCTCGCTCCCAGAGTCGAGGGTGAACAGTGCGACAGAAATGGTATGAGGTTCGTCTCGCCTACTTCGATCCCGCGTGTGGGCCAAACAAGTGTAAACGTCGAAGGATTCACGGCGTGGAATTCCCCATAGCCGGCGTAAACCCACGAATCACAACCGCCAGACGTACGGAGAATGTTTGCATGTGCCCGCATCCCCTGCATTGGCATCCTTGAAATAGCGCGTGGCGCACGAGTAGGCTGCTGTTAGCGGCTGCTGTTAAAAGGTTTTTCTTGTAAGGCTAAGGCTAACCCTCCAATGAGGAAGGCCACGAGCCGTTCTTGAGCCTCGTACCTGAAAGACCAAGGCGCTTAGATCTCTAGGGCAGGGGGAGCGTATTTCGGATTTCAGCCGGATTGTCGTAGGATTTTACCAGTTGTGAACAGACAGTCCCACGTGCGCGGGGGTTCAGAGAGCTGAGGTCAAGAGGGGACAATCGGCGCCTCATCAACTGCGAGAGATGCAGCCGTTGCTGAAGCAAACAATGCAGCACTGCAATTGCCAGGGCTCCAGGTCCCTGCTATACTGCTGCGAGAGGCAACGGCCGTAAAAAGCAAAACAATGAAACGTTATCATGGCGCCTTGAAGTGGGCTTCATTTCAGTCGGCCACTTCCCATTTGGGTCTTGTTGACAGCAGATGCGGAGTACGGAGGCGAGGCGGAGAAGTGGTGTTGAAGCGAGAACCGCCACTTTTGGTTTTTGCTGGTGTTCAAGCTTAACCTGCAGTATCTTATCGGGCGCGCCAAGCCAGAAGGGGTATTATCTCCTTGCACACGGAACCTCCGAGAAAATGGCGGTTTATGCCCTGAACAACTCTATAATAAACCGAAAGTTTTTTTTTTTTTTTCCCTAGATTTTCAATGCTATGCTTTTCCGTTTACAATCATCAACATCAGGCAGCTCACACGGCGAAAAGTCTCCATCGATTCAGCTTGAGATACTCAGTGCAGACCCGCAACTACATGCACACAGGAATTGCTCTCAATTTGCCCAAATAGGCCCGCAAAGAGGCGCTTGTGTGCCTGCGTCGCCAAGCCACGCCATTGGATCTAGCCTGCCGACTGACAGGGGCCCGGCTGCAAACGCTCGGACTAACTTAGCCCCGCCCTCCTCAGTCGAGAAATATCCCGCGTCATCTTTGATATCTCGCCTTTCGGCCGTTGCCTCTTTGATCACGCTGAAATTGCTAGCGACATCTCTGCCGCTCGCTGGTTTGACTCATACGGGCCTTTTGTTTTCATCATGTCATGTTAAATTATTACAAAATCCTAAGCCAATCAGTCTCTATTCTACAGTATACGTGTCCGCTCAAGCCGTGTCCAGCACAATCACCTCGGCCTCCGCCTCTCCAATGCTCTCCACTGTCAGCTTGTCGCCAATGAAAACTCCTTCAATAAATGCGCCATCTCCTTCGGACAGCTCTGCATTCTCCCGGCCATCAAGTCTGATCTTGGCCTTTCCTCCTTTCAGCATCGGTAAGTGGACGAATACCTTGCGCTGTGTCTTGATACCTGCACCGCCTCCCACTGTCCACTCAAACCTGCCCTCTGGTGCGATGATTCCTGCGCCCATGACAAAATCTGCGTGAATGGGAATTGTGTTGGGAATAACAGGCTCAGCCTCTGCCTCCTCTTTCACGGTGGCGTCCTCACCTGCCTTGAGCGGGCTGAGGATCTTGACAAAGCCCTCCCTCTTATCCTCTTCTGAAAATGTGCGAGTGTGGTATCGGGGAATCAGGCCTCTCTTCCACGGGAAGGCCCAGATCTGAAGAAAGTGGACCGTTTCTTTGTTGTGCTCATTGAATTCCGAGTGAGCTATGCCCGTGCCGCCTGTAGTAAACTGTACATCTCCACGTCGCATCCGGTAGAACTTGTCCGATTGACCCCCTTCGTTGCCCTTGGCGAGCATGGAGTCCCGATGGGTCAGTTCTCCCGATAAAATGTAGCTGAAGATTTCGAAATCCCGATGAGGGTGGGTGGGGAATCCAGAGAGTGGCTTTACTCTGTCTTCATTCAAGACCCGTAGAGCCCCGAACTGAGTGTATCTGCTATCGTGCCAGTCGGCAAAGGAGAAGCTGTGGTAGGTGTCCAGCCAGCCTATGTTGTTGTGCCCCCTGGTCGACGACAGGTGAGGCGTGATCTTAGCTTGTCGGAGAATTGATTTCGACATGTCTGTGGTATTTCTAGGTATAGACAGATTGGAGGAAGCTGGTGTATCCGTGGAAATGTTTTTACTGAATGGGTTTCTGTGGTAGATTTGTGTGTAATTCTCAATTGGTACGATGTAGATGAGTATGGAAATTGAAGCAGCAAGAATTGCGAAAAACAGAGCAAAGCGATTCATTTATGCTTGTCCTACAAAAATCATGCAATGAAGAAAGCGAATGCTAAAGAATTCTCGAGAAGGAAAAAAGAAGCTCCATGATATATCCGCGAATTGTCAATAAATTTCTAAGCCTGACAATACTGTGCAAAATTTCGCTTTCATCATCTTACTAAGGTTTTGCTCAGCAGGTTCAGCAGTTCGCAGGCGCTCAGACCAATCACCAATAATTACGCTAGCTTTTCTAATCGCCTTCCAAAGTATGTACGTACACACACACTACTACTAAGGTTAGTAGTATTTTGAGTTTCGCAGCCTGCCCCATAAAATCGAACCAAAGTGGCGCTCTGACAAATGCACTTGCCAGATCAAGCACAATTGTTTCTATGTATATGTCAAGTATGGTAAACACAATGAAACAGATCGAAGTTTGCAGCAGATAGACAGTAGCCTTGCTATAGCGAGTGAATATCTACCTAGTAGCTACACTAGGTTAGATACACTTTGCAAACATGTAATATGACCTTACAAGATGTTTTATTGCCATGTACATCTTTTGCGAGCGCTTCAAAGTGTTGAAGGTGTATAAAGCTGACTAAGTACTACTTAAAACAGATTCACTCGCTTCAAAGCTAGGAACAGCTTCCGCGGAGTCCAATCTCCATGTCTCAGCTTGAGTCGAGGTTACCCACATGCTTTTCGATGTACATTCGACAAGTGGCTAATATGAGACAGCGTGTGCAATCTCGCATAGAATAGCTACAGGGTAGGAGGATGCAAACCACAGCTTGATAACATGGCGCAATCAAGCATATTTTTACTCCATCATAGGCGCCTCTGGCTCTTGTGGTATCGATCAACTAAATCCATGCAGCCACTTCATCGTCCAAATAAATGCAATTGCTCAAAGTGCCTTGCGCCAGTACAGATCCTGATAAAAACCTTCAACCAAACATCCAATGAGATGCCGAGGCGGCTAGCTAACTCGGCTTTCATTGGCCCGATATTGCATTAAAGTGGGCCATGGACAACTCATCGCCAGCATGGCAGGAGCAGAGCCCCTCGTTTCTTGCCTTGCACGCTGGACTTTATACTTTGGGTGCGCCCTGTGCTGTGCTGCCTAAGAGACTTCCCATTCAGCTTCATAAATTATGCTCATCTCCTCCTCTGCCATTCTTCAAGCTCTCCAAAAACCCTCATTGGCAGTCCAATCTCTCGAATCGGCTGCCTCAGCTTTGGCTTGATCAAGCTGCCGACCCCTGCTCCCCAGCCACCCGATTTTGCGGGCCTCCGGCGGCTGTTTGCGCCACCCGTCTGCTAGAGTTTCAGCACCCGACGCCCGAAGATCGACGAGGCCCAACGGCAGCTTCACGAGCAGCCGGCAAAAAGCTGTGAATATTCTGTACTATCGTCGAAAAACAGAGTCTGGCTTGGCAGCTGTTCGTTATACTGCCATCGCCACATCCGTGTCCCTCTTCACATCCTGCTCCAGCGTCTTTTTCAAGGTCAGTATGTGGTGCGATAGCGTCAGTGGTTTCGGCCTCCTGATTCGGCCCCATCTATCTGACAGCTCCCGTGCGCTACGGAGCTTCGTGGATCTTCGGTGGCTGGGACACCCACCCAGCTCTCCTGCGTCAACTTTCCCCAACCCTGTTTAAAACCCAGCCATACACGCTCTTGGGCTTGATTACCCATCCCACACCATACACCTTTCCCTCTCTCCTGCATTGCGTTCTGCAGAAGCAATTGGCCAAACTCCTCCTAGTGCAGTTGGCTTGCGTCGAGCGCTGCAAGAATGAGTTACCAAAGTATCGCCCGTGACGATGAAGAGCCTTCTCGTATGTTAGCGCAGGTGACCGGCTGGATCATAGACATACTGCGCGCAGCTGCTAACCGTCCCCCTCTTTATAGGCTGGCGGCCGTCAAATAACTCTCGATATCAGCCCGTCCCCGACAGCGAGGCCTCTCCTTCGACACGCCATAAGCGACAGCAGAGCAGCCGTACAAAGCGTGCCTCGGCATCGAATCGACGCTCCTCCCGCCGACCCGATTCTCAAGCCAGCGATGTGTCTGATGGTATGGTAGCCCCGCTAAGAATCATAAAATCACATTCTTCTGAGCTGCAAGCAACGAACCAGCCTTCAGCAAATCAATCCACACATCCTGCGGGATACCATGCCATCGAGCCAGAAGAAGACCCAACAGTGCGCTTTGACGAGGCTCAACTAGCAATGTTCGCCGCCGATAACGCTTCCCGCATGCCTAACATTAAAGATGAGTTGGCTTTGGCGGCGGGAAAAGTCACTCCCGGAGTCGACGATACACCGTACATTCAATATGCTCTGCAAGCTTTGGTGGGCGGTCAGGGCACATCGATACCGTCGCATCTCGTATCCAATTCGTCTGACGGGTATTCCGAACGCTATGAGCCAATGCGTGGATTTGATGAGTCCGCGGGATACTCTTCGCCAACCCGTCGGGATCGTATAACGAGTGAGGCCGCCGCCCCATCAGCTCCACTCAGGGGCCCTTCCCCTCCTCTTCAACTCCCACGACGCAGCACAGCTTCCTTTGACCCAACCGGGGCAAGCTCATCACGATGGATTCCCGTTTCAAGCAATATGCAACAGGATCTTGACCCTCATGGCAGAACGCATCAGCCACTCACCGTCAAACCGCAGATTTTACGGGCATTCTCAATGATAATCTTGATTATCCTAATTTTACTTATGATGGCTGCCCTCACCTTCTGCGATAGATACTCGACCTTCCATTCAGGCTTGACTCCATATCCTGGCAGTATATATTCGGCTCAGTACTTTGTATTCCGGATATTGCCACAATTATTGGCCAGCATTATCTTTATTTATGCTCAAAGTGTAGTAAACGCTTCTTTACGAGTTCTACCGTTTACTGCAATGGCCAGTGAGGACCCTCGAGTTAGATATCTGGGACTGTTTCAGAGATTATATCCTGCTTCTTTTCTACTGCCCCAGTTCACTGGACCATGGCAGTTTAAGATTTTCGACGCTGCAACATGGCTGGCTATATTTACGATTCCCTTACAAAGCTCAGCTTTTACGTGTATCTTTGTCAATGATGAGTGGGTTTGGGCGCCAGTTCAGGTGGTCGTTTGGGTGCTTGTTGGCATCTATGGCGTTCTGTGTCTCGCGGCAGTGATTTTGATGGCTTATTGGATCGTTCAATGGACCGGTCTTGCCTGGGACATTCGATCGATTGGAGATCTTTTGCCATTGCTAAACCGCAGCAATGTCATGCACAGCTATAGACGCAACGATCTTGCTGAAAACGCCAAGGTTTTTAAGAGCCAATTGCGTGAGAGATGGTTTGATCGACTGGGGTACTGGAGAGCTGAAGATGCGACCATTGGAGGTATCTGGTATGCCATTGGAGCCTCTCCCGATGAATCTTTTGAGTTTATCTCTGGTACGATGAACAAAAAGGGTAGCAACGACTTTTCTATCGACCTGAAAGCGGCACAAAACTCTGCTCTTGGGGCTCCTCGTGGCAAATACCTACCGATACACCTCCGCAACGGCCCCATCATTGCGTCTGCTTCAGTCAGCTTTCTTCTACTCGTAGCCCTACTCATCGTTTCCTTCTTGCCGCAAACCCGACTAGAGGATGGCTTCTTGCCGAGACTAAGCGCAATGCCTAACGACGACGCCTTTTCCCCAGCCAACTTTGTCTTCAGCTTCGTGCCCGCTTTAATCGGCATGATCCTCTATTTGTATTTTCAAGGCATCGATCAGTCGCTGCGCATTCTCCAACCCTGGGCCGACCTATATGATGTGAACGGTTCTTTGGCGCAGAGATCTCTTTTAGCAGACTATGCAGCTTGTCTCCCCTTCCAGTCAACATGGAGAGCACTGAGAAATGGACACTGGAGAGTAGCGGCTGTGTCGCTGCTGGCGACGTTGTTTATTTTCATCTCAATTCTAGGCGGCGGGCTCTTCATGGCTTTAACAAGGCCTGATCAAACGGTCCGAATGTATCCTAACATGCCAGTGTTTGGCGTCTTGCTAGCATTCCTGTTCCTCTACGTTGGCGGGCTAACTCTGATGGTGCCCCACCGCCGCCAATTCCTACTCCCGCGGCCGGTCAGCTCGATCGCTGGAATCATCAGCCTCTGCTCTGCCGAGGAGCTTACACAAGATGCTGCGTTTCGATCCGTTCGAGGACGGAAAGACCTCGCAAGCCGGCTTGGTGTCGGACGCGACGATGCCCGAGAAGAGAGTACGTGGTTCTTTGGCATTGTGCCAGGAAAAGACGAGCACCGATTGAGCGTACGGCGGATGAACAATTTTTCAGAAAAGCTGCCAAGGTCTTCTAGATCCATGGTTTGATGATATTTTCCTCCTTATTTTTTTCATGTTAAAAGCCTGAAGAAGCAGAGCGTTTCTTTTCTTTTTCTTTTCTTCCTCTTCTTTTTTTGTGCAATTATCGCATGACTTCAGCATGCATTTGGAGTTGGAGGGACTACCAAAGTTTGACATTCACGATATCTATGAAAAATGGGGACATGGGGCGCGATGGGTGATATGAGCGACGAGTATATAATGCGGCAATGAAACTTGGTTGACGATGCTTGTTTGGAAGACAAGACTATGTATGTAATGTTGATATGATACCAGTATGTAGTGGCTGATGGCTCTCAATTCATGAAAATAGGTTTCAGAATTAAAATTACGATGGAGACATACAACCACCAGCCACATGCTGGGTGATACACATTTGTGAACACATAGGTGCTTAAAAATATGTTTAAAATCTTAAATATGCTGGGCTTTGGAATGCGCTCAATGGTGACGGCGTTGTCAACACGCAGGTTTTTGAAGCGCGGGTAGCTTGGCACATGGCATTATTGCGAGAAGAAGATGAAGAAACAAATCGAATTATGATTAAGTTTCATGATGAGGAACATCTCGTGACTCTACCAGTACTCCTTTTCATGCTGCCGTTATTACCACCCATCCCGTTGGACAAAAAAAAAAAAAAAAAAAAAAAAAGCGAAAAGAATGATCCAAGTTGTGGTTAAAGCGTGTAAAAAAGAGTGGCTATGGTCCGCTTGCTTTGAAAGAAAGAAATGTGATGCATGCAAATGAGTGAGTAGCTGTGGCCAAGCTGGCCTTCATTATCATTAAAAAAAAAAAAAAAAAAAAAAGAAAAAGAGAAAGATGATTGAAAGATGATTGAAAGTTTGAATGAAAGATCACGTATATCGTCAAACTCATCGGCCCCGTAGCCCTAGCATTCTACTAAACACGTCCGACTGCTTCACTACACGGGGCAGGCCGTCTATGGTGTTGGTCCTCTTGCGCCGTTTGCAATTCTCCTTTTCCGTTGCATCAATCAAGGATTGGTGAGCTGTTGACACTACTTTGGAGGCAGAGCCACGGCGACGGGTGAAGATGTCGTCGTTGCTCTTGGGGCTTTGACTCCGTCTGTGGAAACGGAAGAAGGAGAGGGCGGGAGATTCCAGAGGAGAAGACTCGTCGTCGGTGCAGTCTGTGTCGGAATCGTACTCAAAGACAGAGACTGGTAGTGGCTCTGGAGGAGGGCGACGGAGCTGGGTGGTGGATTTGTAAGGGCGGATTGTATGACTCGGTGGCTGAGGAGGTTGTTGGGTATGGCTGTGTTGAGAGAGATTTGAAGACCGAGGAGTGAGATGAGGGGCTCTTGGACAGTTGGTTGGTAGTGCTGGCAGTGGCGCTGTTGGTGGAGGCGAGGGATATGGATAGTCCATGGGGCTGGATGGCCGTGAGCTGTGAGATGTAGCTGGACGCTGAAATGCCTTTAAGGAGGCGGGCGAGAAGGCCCTGGGATGAGGACTTCCCGGACGGCTGTAGGGCGATATGGGCCGGTGAGGAGAAGGAGCCTGTTGGAGAGGGCAGCGGGCGTCCATTCCCGAGAGGCGGTCCTCGCAAGCACCTGAGGGTAGCTGAGAACTCGAGCGCGGGCTTGTACGTGGTGGTGAAGGGATGTCGACTATCTTTGGGAACGCCGAATATGTCGGTGATGCTCTTCGTGGCTGGTGTGTTTGCGGTTGTTGGTCAGACAGTGGCCAGCCATTGCCCCCCTGAGAGCGAGGGCCCTGTGGGCGTCTTCTCGGGCGTTGAGGCGAGGATATCAAAGCTGGATAGTCCTTCTCAGGGACGTCTGGAGGACTACAGCTGGGAGCCGCAGAAGCAGAACCTGCCGCAGCCATTATCGAAGTGTTTTCTATGATGTAACTGCCAGGAGTATGACACTGATGCTGATGCTGCTGTTCGGACATCCAGAAGCTGTCCCAGAGCTCGTTGGCGTGGGTGTGGTAGCGATAGTCATCGACATCCGCCGAGGCCTCGGAGTCTGTGCGGTCGTCGACCAGGCTCGGCGGGGATGATAAAGGACTCGGTGCTGGCGGCTGGGAGTCCACCGACGACCTCTTGAAGAAGTCTTCGCGGGACCACTTGTACGACGGGCTTCTGCTGTTGCAGGGAGTTGGGGCGCCCTCGCTGCGAGGGTAGGAGTAGTTCGCCACGGGGTAATATTTTGATACGAGGGTGAGAGGAGCGAGCTTGCTTGACCTCTCCATGGTACGGGTTGGCGACATGGAGATTGGCAAGCATATGCGAGCGATTGGGAGGGCAAAGAAAGAACAAAAAGTGTCAATGCGTCGTATAAGAGAAAGAAAAAATTGGCATAAACTGAGACTTGATATGAGAGGGGAAGGAGGCAAGGGGATGCTAGAGGTATGATATACGAATAGTCCTGTCTGTGAGGGTGGTTCACAAGCAAAAGTATAAAAAAGGTGTAAAGTATGGGTTTCTCATAAACACATGCTGAAGAAACAAAGTCAACAAGACATGCATAGCAGACGCAGGACTCACTTTCGATTTTCGATGAGACGAGACATTGTTTTGTGTGGAGCAGGCCGACTCCATATAGAGAGTACTATCGAGAAGTCTCCTTTTCCCCTTCCTTTATGTACTGCCTCTTCTCTTCTCTAGCGTCGCAAATGTCTAAGTTGGGCGATGGGAGGAGTTTGCGCGCGCGCTCGCCCTGGAGACGGGTAAAAGCATTCCTTGCTGGGCCTAGCATATGGAGCGAAGTCTGGCTTTTTCTGCTAGAGGCAGGGGAGAGGTGGTCGGCTAGCTACCTTGGTACGCTATCTTGTGCTTTCTCTCTTTTTTTCTCGATCTAAATAAAGCTTTGTGGATATGTTTGCTTTTTGCATTCTGGCTGGGGGCTTGCGGAGTGGCTTTGGCGGGATGAAGGCTTTAGTACGGGGAAACGCAAGGGATGAAGGTTAATTGTTAGAGTAGGAGAGCCGGGATTTAGAAAGGTGCCGTGCTGGATTTCATTGCTAGGTAGAGAGAAATACTATTCATGTGTTGTGCTTATGGCTCAAATAAAAAAGTTTAACTGCAGCAAAGGATGGCAAGTCAGCATATGCATCCTGCATCCTGCATACACATACATACAGAAGAAGCTGCAGGGAGTCTCATCATGGCAAAGACAAAATGCTGATAGAGTTTTTATTCTGCTTTACCCATCAAGGTGCCAAGCCACGCAGAGGGGGAGGAATTCTGACAAAGAGAGAGAGAGATCGACACTTTGTCATGTCCTGGTACCCTGGCGACGTGGAGCCTACTGACTTTGAGCTGGAGCTTTCAGCTGAAAAATGAATCCTGCTCGGCATCACCGGAGCGTGCCTAGAATTGATATGCAGCAACTGGCTTTCATTTTTCGAAGCTCCAAGCAAACAAACAGACTTGGCGACGACACCATCTCAGCTTCTGCCAAATACGCCCAAATCTGTCACGAGCCGCAGCAGATGGCAAGCAACTTTCGTTGCGAGGGGGTCCACCAACAGCCCGGTACATGTATTGTCGACCGTAGTAAGAAACTATTATATGTATCGAGTAATACCTACTACTACTACCTGCTAAGATACCTAGATATGCTCAAGTACAGCAGTAGTTCTGCGATTAAGGCGGCTGGTCTTCCCTGCCTCCCCGCAAGGGATAATCCCTGTCTGCCTCTTTTTTACACTCTCCATGTCCCTCCCTTGTTTGCCTTTTCTGTCCTGTGGTCTCATCCGATCAGCTTATAAACTGCTACCCCGGTCGATCGGGGTCCTGCTTGACAAGGGTCGTCTTCTAGGTATGGGCAAGATTTGGACCAAATGCTAGTCCCAGCTGAGACCTGCATGACTGGATTCCTATGACCTAAAACTCTATCAGGTCCGGGTGGCTTCCGCGAGCCGCGATAAATGTAGGGGACTGATAATGGTCTTTGGACGGAGTACTCTGTAGATACTACTACGGTAGTAGTAATACCATCATACATCCGGTAGTAGTATTCCGGTAGTAGAAGCGAAACAACGGCGACCATCCGGGGACTGGAGCAGTGCAGGGAGCTTGGACTGTATCTCTTGGGGAAGGTCATACTCATTCGTTAATTGTGATTCAGCAGCATTGAAGGTGCAAATTACTATAGCAGACTTCACGTTTTTCATCCCAAAAAGCGCATTTATCCTCCAAATAGCCCGATCTACAGTGGCCTACTCAGCAACAAAGAGCTTCTCCCGGCATACTAGCCATCTTTTAGACCCGTTGTACCAGTGACACAGCGCAGGCAATCGGGCCATCTACACGTGGTACAAGAGCAACTCTAGCGGCATATCGTGTGAACCGCCTCGATCTGAAGAATGCAAGATGTAGTCTCCATGGCTACGAACGTGGACGGACTGAGATTTGCAATTCCTTGGAGAGAAGCGCCATGCAAGTATAAAAAGTGCTGCGCGCGCACCGCGTCCAATTCACCGCAGACGCGTCTTTATTCTCTTTGGCCGTCATTACGGCGTGAGTCTGGGTTGCTTATCGCACAAAGATTCCATGCCGGTGGTGAAGGAAGCACAGAGTATACATAGGCATCTATGCTTACTCTTTATTGGCGGGGATGCAGGGAGAGAGATGGAGGTCGTATAGCAGTGGTGGAGAAGCTGTGTGCAGCGTACGGCGTCTGTCTGACTTGTACATGATGATTCAGGCCAGTGGCAATTCTCTGTGACACTGCTGCATCTACAGTGGTGCTAGAATGGGGATTTTAGTTAGAGGAAGAGAAAGTGGTTTCATGATTCTTGGTGGGCATCTTGTTAGCATGTCTCGTATGACACATTGATGGCGAATTGTCGCTGTAGTGCACAAGCGACCTCGACAGCTTCATATGCGCAATGGACCAGCAATTATGGATATATATGGGAATGAATACGTTTCGAATTATTTCAAAGTATATATATATATATTGCCCAGGGCTGTTATTTGGGCTGAAGTATGTATCAGAATAGTGACCAGTTTCGAGAGAGCCTACCCTGTATTTGCCGGGGCGAACTATATGTCACTGCCTAGGTACTTAGGTAGTATTAATGCATATTTTGCGTGTACATCCATTTACATCACGACTTACAACTATCGGCACCTATTTTAAGAAGCTGATGACAATTTCAAGAGGCCTCCCTTCCAATTCTAGGCTATCCCAACTGTCAGTCATCAATAGTTCGGTGTATGCCATATCGATTGTGAGATCGGCAAAAAGGGGCTCCAGAAGGCAATCGGGGCCAACTCATGTATGTACCATGACAGTATTGGATTGCCACACCGCTGGTATAAGTCCACTCACACATGCGCCCAGCAGGAAAAATTGCAAAGCCGCATAAACAACAATTGGAGAGAGCATCTAATTCAGGCAAACGTGACGTCGTCCCGCCCCCAAAGCCACGCAGCCATTGGCAGAAAGCTTGCTGGCGCTCGACGGCGATTGGGCCGCCGGGTCGAAGCTTTCGGACATCAAGCCATCACACACAGGCATGGGCGGGCCCGAGCCGCGCCGCACTGGGACAGGATCAGTGGCTGCCGCGCTGTGCTGTCCCGGTGGCACAAGTCGAGTTGCGACAGCGAGTTGGACAGGAAGAGAACCGCTGTGAAACATGTTGATACTACTACTACTGCCAGATGAGCGTGCGAGAGGGAGGACGGCCCAACAAGATGCCCGGCAGCCGGAAGAACAGCGCCGGGGCAGTCGGTGCTGGTGTTGGGCGCATTGATTGATGTGTTCAGGGTTGATGTGGATGTGACACAGCATGCATATACGGGAGGCGGGCGCACATCTTTTGCGGTGCATCAGCATGAGGTGTAAATTGTACAGTAATGAGGTGTGCTGCTTCAGCGACGACGCGATCGCTGCGGCATGGCCTGGTTGTGGCCATCGCCGTTGCCCGATTCCTGGGTCGACAGGCTTAGGCGTGGACTAACGCATGGTCGACGCTTGGAGGAAACCTCCGCGATACTCGACCCCGACAGCATTTTCCAGTGTCTGCGAGAGGTATGTCTGCCGTACAGCAACAAACGTGGCGCACTTGCGACGTGGCGCAAGGTACCAATGGCATGGGCATCAGCCTCACCTGGCGGGATGCTGGGATTCGCTATTCGCTGGCACTTTGACAACCTGTCCACGTCAAAATCCCCAGCGCTGGAGCAGAGCCGGTCTGCCTTGGGCGGTCGATCTGCTGCTGTCGTGCACTGTTCCTCTTCCTCTTGCTTGCCATCCATCACCACCACCTCCTCGCCGGTGGTCTTCACGCCGCCAGCCCACGGCATCGTCGTATGTATTACCGAGTCAAGGCGCCCCTTGGACCGTGGACTAACGGCCGGCGTCAGGGATGGCCCCGGTTCTCCCCCTCCCAGATCCCATCTTAGCGATTCGCATCGCTGTCCCCGGCCCAGTTCAGCTACTGCCACTTGGTGCTAGCTGCGATATGAGCTTAGCAGGTCCGTCGGTCGCTGGATCGCGGTGGAGCGCTGTTCCTCTTTTCGAACGCATTTCCATGGCCCAGCCGCTGCTAAGCTGCGCCCTAGCCTTTGGGTCTCAGCTGGAGTTGCAGACAGGTCCTCGTGGCTGAAAGGATACATGCAGCAGCCATAGCCCCGGAGCACATGCTGCAGGTACCTGGGCTGGCCACGAGACCTGCTGGGTACGCCGTCAGATGGGGGCCGCGACGACAAGTGCGAGGCCAAAGTGCTTGCTTGGGATTTTGCTCTGGTTCCTCGCATCTTGCATCTCGCATCTTACCTCCATAACCGCCACCACCTCCTTACCAGGAGTTCCCGCTGCTGCTTGTACGAACGTCCCCTGAGATGGCACCGTGCCGGGCGCTTTAGAGGTCAGCATTGGGCCTCGAACATGCAGCCCGAATCTCCACCAACTGAGCTTTGCTGGCCGCTTCTGTGACCTCGTGGAGAAGTTAGGAGAGAAGGAAAAAAAAAAAAAAAACGAGGACGACGCATTGCTCTGGCGCCTCGCTCGACACGACACGACCCGATTCCACCACCCCTTTCCGTCCCTTTCTTGCTTTCGTTCTTTGCTCGTCTGGCGCAAGGCAGGGCAAGGCGCGGCCGTCAGCTACGGCTTGGGCCAGCAGAGTCCTGGGTCTGCATCGACAACGCCAGCGCAGCGGGAGGCATCCGGTTTCTTTGACTGCTAAAGAGACGCACAAAGAGACTGGGCAAAAGAGACCGTCTGCTTCTCTATCTC